ATTAATGTTTGGCACGACATCCGTGCCTCACGTCTTGGCAAAATGTAGCCAGAGGTAGCAGTGCACTTTGCACTGCTACCTCCGGCTGCAGGTGCACTTTGGCACTTTTTGACTTTTTCTTTCTTTTTCAGCTAGCACTGCATCACTTCCCAAGAATCGGTGTGTGTATTAATATGCAGACTTAGATTCGCACCTGGCGACATCTATTAGTTCAGAACCACTAAGCGACATTAAGAGTTTAACGTTTAAATGACACCAAGAAACAAACCTACTGAAGTATTGTATACCTCTGTCATAAAAATAGAAGGGAAGTGAGTATAAAGACGCTGAATGCGGCATTAGTACATTTTTTAAATGCCCGATATATTTAGTAGAAAAAATATAGAAACTGAAAAATTCAGTGTGTCATGCACAAGTTGCAGGTCATCCTAAGCTTTCATTTATACCTTACACTACTCTGTAAGCTTACAGAAGTAGATTTTTTTTTTTTCTTTCTTAAAGGGATGCTGAACCGAAATCTGGATTCCACAAAGCATGGTGGCAAAAGCGTGCAACGGGATGCTACAAACATCAAAACATCCCTCGTGCAACGATGTATCAAACGGATGACCATATTTAAAAAAAGAAAAAAAGGCGCATTTGACAGATATTGTGACATCTTGTTTTTCCGAGAAGAGCTGAGAAGGAGAGGGAACGGCCCTCGCGTCTTCTCCACCTCGCCGCCTTGAGGGGGTGAAACAAAGAGAGGAGGAAACAAGATACCCCATGTCACGTGCCTCGTCGGCCTCGCTCAATCTCGACCCTTTTTTTTTCAGAAAAATATGGCCGTCGATTCGAGATGTCACCTTGCAAGTAGTGTTGTAGGGATTGCAGCGTCCCTCCTACAGCTCCTGAATTGTTTTTTTTAAATCCAAAGTTCGATTCACCATCCCTTTAAAAGGTCACAAAAGGGTTTTTATGTGCTTCCAGCCCATTTCCTGCAAAGCAAAGAAAAGGGGTGCATAGCAATATTTTATCATCTCTTTAGTGACAAATAGGGCTTCCATGATCCTAATTTTGGATATTTCAGGATGCATACAGCATGCAGAATTAATAATAGCTTGAAAAAAAATATTTCAGGAACATATTTTAGTGCCTTTTTAATACCTTGCTTCTGTTTCAGTTCAGCTCATAAACATTGCAAAAATGGAACTCAATACTACTCGAAGGTTTTTAGAGCATCTTGGTATATATTACAAATAGGAAAAAAAAGAAAATAAAAAAAAACTTCAAGAAGGTTTTTACTTTAAAGACCAACCTACGATCCCACAGTCAAGATAGCAGAGGGAGAGGGAGAAATGGGAAAGGTGGAGAGGAGGATTTTCATTCCTTGAGGAAAACCTTCCTGTAGGTCGGGCTTTAGAGGGACACCAAACTTCCCCAGACATTTTTGTAAGTACCTACACTTGCATTCACCTCAAGAAAGAAGCAAGTTCTGAGCATCGCTCATACATTGCGCAAAGTACTTCCTACAAGATTTGGTTGTCGGAGGAAGACAGAATATTTTTGGCGTTTGAAACGTGTATGTCTCGATAACGTAACAAATATCTCATCTAAAATGCAACTACAGGTACCATGTATATCCTAATTCTCCACATAAAGGGGAAAATTAGTGACGTACTACACAAGCAGCCGGACTTCTTTTACTACGGCTCTCGAGGTGAGACGAGTATGGGTAGGACACTTATATAACAAAATAACAACTCCCTCCACAAAAAAAATAAAAAAATAAAAATGAAAAAAATTATGAGATTTATTTTGAGTTAAAGGCCGACAACCAGACCTGAGATTCTGCAAGGCAAAAGATCCTCCTCCCCATGGGGGAGGAGGAAAGAGGCAACGGTGGACAGGGTAGAAGGGGGGAGGGGAGGAAGCGAGGGAAAAGTGGAAAGCGTAAAACTGGTCGTCGGTCTTCAAGAGGGATCTCGAAACGTGCTCTTACCTAAAGACATCAACCCCGAAATGGAAGCATGCTTCCGAAACGCTCATACGAGTCTTACAACATAAATATTGCCCTCCAAACAATTTTTTTTTTTAACCAAAGATTATTTTGTGGCTTGAAAGTAGGGATTTTTCGGTGCTTAATATTGAGAAAAGCTGACGGATGTTTTTCGGTTCATTAATGCAAAAGCAGTAACTGTCCCATGGAGCGAACCGGCGTTATGAGCTTTTGAAGCCGCATGCCAAACGGCACCTAAATTTTCCCGTCCCAATGGAGCGAAGCCTGTAGTCTGTGACAGCGATTTCATGGATAGGCTCCCATTGGCTAGCGCACATTATAGTTTCAAGGAACGAGGCTCCTCCCACTGGCCGGAACGCATCACAGCTTCAGGGAACGCCACCCCATCAAACTGCGGGCCCACGCCAGCAGCGCGCCAGTAAAAGGAACACGGAGGCACGAGCACGCCCGCTGCTACTCTTCTTGTTGACGCCGACAAACATGGCGGCGCCTCAAGCATCCACATCGGCGGCGGCCGCAACCTCGGCAGTAGCGAAACCTCCCATCCACGCAAGTACACCGGAGACAAACGAAGGAAGCGGAATAATGCAGCACAACGAGCAAGGAGGCAAGCAGCAAAATCCAGCATTGTTGTCAAGTCTCCGAATAAACGGCGGGTGGAACAAGTAGTGGGGCAACGTGCTAGGAGACAGAACAAAGCCTTTTGAAAGCGTGAGGCACAGGCGGATCGTGATTCAGAGCGTCGGGGCAGGACGGGGCGTCAAAACGTTAGGGCAGGACAGGGACAATGCGAAGCGGAACAATACGTCGCAGGCGGCGTGCTTTCACATTCACAACTCATAAGAAGTGTTTAGGTGTCCTCGGACTTTTTTATTCTTTAAACACCAATGTACTTCGGTTGGACGACTCGTGGCGAGGCTAAAAATGGCGATTATCGGCGAAAAACATCAGGCTCTGTACATCCTTAGTCAACTTGAATAAATGCTACCACAGCGAGAGCAATGGAGGTTCACTATTTTGATGGAGCTAGATGCGGACGTCGAATGTTGAAGATGTTTTTAATGCAAAAGCATTAACTGTCCCATGGGGCGAAGCCAGCGGCGTCTGTAACCGTGCCAAACGCTACCGACATTCTCATTTTCCTATTGGCTGAGCAAACGGCGCCGAAAGAGCCATTGGTTGCAATGCGTCGTAGTTCCAAAGAACGCCACCCCACAGACAAAATTTCTTCCTGGTGCTGCGGCCCGCGCGCCGATAAAAGAGAGAGGGTGGCATGTGCGCGACCGTTACTCTTCCCTCCTCTCGGGCCATGTGTCAGGAGTGGTCGGAGAGGGAGGGAGAAATTCCCCCTCCCTCTCTATGAGCACTACTGCGTCACATGCTCTACGCTCTGCTTTCAGTCGTGTCGCGCCGGCCGGCCGGCCTCTGCGGAGGACAGCCGGGCGCACTGCTTGTAGGAATGATCTGCATGTGGGAATGCTCTCGCATTCCTACACGTAAGCAGTCTTAAGTGTCCTCCTGTATTTTTCTTGTAGCCACGCCACTAACTTCACCCTCAGAATTTCAAAAAAGATGCACAGCTTCATTTTCTTTCTTTGTTCAGTTTTTTGTTATCGAAACTTGAGAAAAGACGCACAGAATCCATGTGTCTTGGTGGAAGAGGCAGGATTTTCGGAGCACCTTCTGCGACTGCGAAATTACCGGAACGTATACACCCGTCAGCCCCCCATCCAAAATAGGGGAACAGTTCCAGCCAGGCACGTAGCCAGGATTTTGATTCGGGGAGGGGCTGCCGATAACAAAGTGCTGTAAGAGGGGGAGGGGGGAGAGGAGGCCCCAGCAAAATGGAAGATCTGGGGGGGGAGGGGGGGCCTGGATACGTGCCTGGTTCCAGCAATCCCAAGCCGGGGTGAAATAAAACCGAACCTGTAGTCCCAAAAGCCCTTGAGAATGAAACAGATATAACAATAAATACATTTCCGTTCCCCAGGCAAAGAGACGCGTTCGACAAGGCTAGTGGCCCTGCACAACACCCGTGTCAGCAGTGTCTTCCAAGAACCACAGCGACCTCTGAATAGACACTCGAAGGACGCAAGAGCAGGATCCACGAGACAACATGTTTGACAAACCTCTACAGGAGAAGAGGTTCAATGAAAACAGCCGTTGCTAGGGCGGTTTAAATCGGGGCAAGAACATTCAACCACCGGTGTTTTTCGATTCTAACCAATTTTGTATTTTCGTCGCCGGAAGATGTCCATCGGCGTTTTTCGGTTAAAGAGGTAGTGCAACGATTTCAATGTTAAACGAATTTGTAGTTTGTACTTGTTCTATTGTTTATCTAAGCACTAGTGACAAAAAATGTGTCACCTTGCATCGATAAACTGCTACTTTGCTGCACAATCGTAAAGGAAAAAGAACTAACACTTCGCCGATCTGCAGCCGTGTGCGGCGGTTACAGGAACTACGATGAAACATCTTCTGGGGGGCGCGCGGAAGTCAACGAACTCTGTCCTTCTTCGGTGCTACACTCGCCGTCAGTTCCATGGCAAACCGTCTTTTGTGTTGATCAATTGCCGCGAGCTTTTTGTTGATGCTAATCCTTGTAAAGTCTACAATCGTGGAGGAAACAGCTGGGGTCTCCAAAAAGAGATCCCAATGGAAAACCAGGTGATCCCCCGAAGTACGTCACTCGAAAGACGACGCAAGTGTTGAGAGGCACCTTGACCTTCGACATGTTTCATTTTTTAAAATAAAAACTAGGGTGCACAAGAAAACAAGGTTTTCCATTCTTCGTTCCATAGGTGACACGGATTAATTCCAGCACTTAACTGGCCAAAGTCCGAAAATCGTTGCACCGCCTCTTCAAGACCGGTAAGTGCGCAGCCTACTCGTAAGCCACAAAACAAACTTTTCGGACACTTTCAAAGGAAACCGTCCTTGGGAGTTGAGTGTGTGTCTCTTTAACTGTCCTCCCACCAAAGGTTTCAGTTGCGACGCTCACCAGGAGAAGTTTTCAGACATGCCCAGAGCCTCCATCCTCTCCTTCAAGACTTCGTAGCTGTCCTCACGAAGGCTTCCTCCGCAAAGCTCTCCGCCATACGGGACGAGCAGGTCGAATCCCTCCACCTGGTTTGCCGGAACAATCGACGCGGGCGTTGCACAAACTTGTCCCTCAAACGGCAACGGCCGCGGAGAAAGACCAATTCGGCGTTCCGAGCGCACTTTGAGTGCCACGTCCGATTAGGCTCGTGTGGTTTGTTTCGGTTTGCTATCTGCCCCTCACAACCGAGTTGTCATTTTTTTTTTTTATGTGTAGCGGCATGTATGAGCGAGGTATGAAAGCAATGTTTCATTTCGTAATGTGACTTTCTGACTGCGTATGATTTTTTTTTTTTTTTCTTTCTTTAGGCAATCTAAGTTTAGGCGTACTCTTTCGTTATAAAATGGTGAATATATGTCCTTCAACCTCGCGCTTTATGGTGAACAGTGAGACCTCAAAGTTACTAAAGAACTCGGCAATCCACGACGAAAAGCGGGGAAGTTACAGTTCCGAATAAACGAAGGCCGAGCGACGCCGCTCAAAAGAGTGACCTCAAAGTGCAAGGTCAAGCTGCCACTGCATAGTACCGTTTCTCGAAAAGTACGATACAAGAAATATGCCGTAGGCTGGACACGCACATATCAATTAAAACTTTTGCCCATAAAATAATGCGTCTTTTATAAATAAATATTATTCGCGGAATATGCTACAGTTTACGTTCAGCATGCGGAAAAGAAAGCTCGGCACTGAAACGGTTAATACGGCAAAACGGGACGTCTTCCGTCACTTTCCACGATGTATTTATACAAAGACCCGCGTGATATTTTTTCAATCTCCAACATATAGTCGACAAGAATTAGAGACCGTACCAGATTTCCAGTGCTGTCCCTCTTCATGTAGAATGGCTTGAGGCTGGCTGGAAAGTGGGTCACAAATACGGGACGATTGCCACAGTGCTTCACAATGAATTCCTCATGTTCTGTTTTCAGGTTATCTCCCCACTGAAACAAAAATGAGACACAGAAACATTTAATAAAAATTGCTTTACTCCAACATTATCAGAGTCGCAACGTGCAATATACACAATTAGCTTTAACCACCTATTTTTTGTTGCAATACATTTCTCATAATTTACGCCAGGCAGACGCCGAAGCATATGCCGCGAGAGACGAGCACACGCTATTATTTCTTTTGAAGAGCAGCCAGTCTGTTAGCGTGAACACGACTTGGGCACTTTTCTCTATTTTACTTCAATAGGCTATGGGCGGGCACCAATACTCACTGCTTACCGTAATATTGTCACAAATAACAAATGATGAAGCGAAGAATAACTGAAGAAACTAAACGTTTGTTGGGGCAACTTGTGCCCAAAACAATATAAAGGTAAGTTAGCATCACAGGCGTCGATGTCGGCGAAACAGCAGGATCAAACGCTGGAGCGAGATGACTCTGCAAGGTCGCAGGGGGGCTCTTATCTAGAGAGTGTCACTATCTTGAAGATTCGACAAAGAAGACTCCAGCCGGGCGAGAATAAACATGCACTTTCTAGAACAAGAAAGCAGGAATAAATGATAAAGTTACGTCCAAAGCAAGAATAAACGAGAACCTTCTAAAAGTCCGTGACCGAGCGTTGCCTTCTCGGCCCTGCGCACCACGGCAATATGGCGTGAAATAGCCCACTTATAATTGAAACCAAATTGGATGAGCCAAATTTTGGAGTGCAGCCGACGAAAAAGAGCCGATTGTAGTAGCTAAATCGAGAAAGCACTCTTCTAAGGAACGTAAAAGTCAGTTTCTTCGAGGTATTTTCACACGCTCATCACATATGTTATCGAAATGTGAAAGTTGGTTTACAGTTGCAGACTGATTTTTTGAGGGGATCAGGTGGGATTGTCCCTCGCCGCATACAGTTAATAAATAATGGCGACAGAAACTTCAGGCACCGTTCAACTCATTGCTCAATTTTTCTAACTTCCTTGGCCCACAGGACCTCCGCTGGAAATCAAATCGTCGCCATTTTGCCTTCATACCACATTCCACTTCCTATGCAATAGAGGTCAGCCAAACGCTGTCTTCAAGCGGCTCTAACTGGCATGCAAAAACGCCCCCGAAAATGTGCCAAATATATTGTCTTGGATGAAAAATGTTGAATGTAAAACTGAGAATAGATTGGATAGAAGCCCCGAAGGACAGGGACAAAGTGAAGGAGGCAATGACAACATGGAGCGCACTCACAACTGAAAGTTTATTAGAAAGACGCAGACTTAAATATTTTAATAAAACCACGTCACTTCCAGCCACCCCACTCTCTCTCTCTCTCTCTCTCTCTCTCTAAAAATAACATCTCCTTATCAAACAGTGCCACGGACGGCTCACCGATACATCAATCGGCGCCCCTTGTTTTGATGACAAACGCTTCTTAAATTTCCCTAGTCGTCTTTCCACTGTGTCGTCCCAGGATGGTTGTGTTTGAAAACAGGGTGGTGCACGGGCATCGATTGCAATGCGTGGCTAGATGCCCAGACGGCGTCCGTTTGATGGCTGCTGCGTGTTCTCTAGCACGGTCATTTAGACTGGCAGGGTTCGAACCCCATGCCTTCACGTACGAGCCACGCGCGCGGCAATATCACGAAGACAAGGCGACCGCCTTACCTGCACGCTGTGCGAGAATGCCCGGTTGTCCGCAGCCTTCAGGTACCCGATGCACTCGTTGTATGTCAACCTGCGGCGAGGAATGAGGATCCGCTGCAGCAGAGCTTTCCAAAGCTTCGAGCAGCAGCAGCTGGTCAAAAATCAAGAAATCGCCGCAGAGACTCCGCGTTGAAAAAGATATAACTAATCTTTCGAGACTGAGCACTTGTTGGGAGTTTGACAATGAGAACAATAAAAGCTTGCTTCCGTATTTTCTTAATTTTAATAACATTAGCCCTTAAAGGTTCTCAGTACCATATTTTCCGGATTACACATAATTTCAAGTAGAAATTTTATGTGGTGCAAACTCTACGGACTGTTTTCTAGATTTTTTTTTTTTATTATTATGGTGAGATGCAACAGATTTTGTGAATGACAGAGTATGTTAATAATAATTTTTGCACGATACAAGCTTCTTTGTAAGCTAAAAAAAGCAGGCATTTGTCAAGGTGCGGTTTGCACAATCATTTTTTGCATTCAAACTAGGCACAGGGTGCAGGCCATGCACCGCAAAAATGTGGTATAAGCAGGCCACCTAGGAATCTCTTTAAAAAAGTCGCTCTGCTTTAAATTGGTGTCTTGTCTTCAGTTTGAATGGATAATGCGGCCAGTACATTATGACCACTAACCTGGCATCGAGCCATAAAACAGTTTTTCTACTTTTGCTAAATACTACTCAAAATCCCTGCCTAATGTTAATAACCATATAAACTTGACTTAGTTTGTTCTTCTAAACGATGGCAGTTGGCAAATGAATTCGAGAAATACAAGCATCGTTCATCCCCTTAACTCAGAGGCGGAACAAACGGCCACGTGGTTTGATGTTTATGCTATGCCGCCAACGTTAATCATAGCCATGCGCTGGGCTTGGCAAACTAGAAAATCCATGCCAAGCTCCAGGCACTGTTAGGGTTCGGCTCTTATCATCACCATGTAACTGGACACGAGCCACTACCCGAGTGTCTGCCGAAGCATTGATTGTTACGAGCCGAAGTCAAGTGTTCACGCACTTCTCGTGTTTAATCCATGAGCCGCGCTCGCCTGTCGTCAGGTGGGCGATTTCAAGTCCCACCATTACCTCACCGAGCTTTGCAAAGGCAAGACTGAAAGAAATAGTCCCCTCTTAAGGCCCGTTCACACTCTTGTAACCGAGTATGACCGAGAGAAACCAGATCTGTTAAAACTTTTTAAAATTTCTTAGGACGAGGGAACACACTGGCATGCTGGCGCCATCTATGCAGTGACTTTAGAACTGCATTTCACAAGAGCAACGGTTTTGCAGCATTTCCGAGGTCAAATGTGCGTAGTATACCTATAAGAAAGGCTCGTTCATTTACAAAAGTTTTTCGAGCCAAGGAAGAAAGGATAATGCACGGGAGAAATAGAAAATATGCCGGACCGCCAAGTTTATTCTGCTACCCGATAGTTGGCGCCTGTGTGTCCTCTCGTTGTAAGAGGTTTTAAGGAACCCAGTTTTAAGAAGTCGCAGGAGTGTGAACGGGCCTTTATTCTCGCAATTTCACCGCGACAAAGAAGCTTCTGAACCAATGGCGGTCTGTGCGAGTATACTTGTGCCAGGATAGGACCAGTGCGCCTCTGTAAAATCATGAACATTCCAACCCGACAGCATCTAATGACCCCTTTAATGCCCACAATGCTGTGGTGATGATATGACCACACTCTGGTGCGACGCTCATCTACGTCGAAATGGGCGGGGGCAGCGATCAAACCCAGGTAGGGATCCTGGGTTCTGCAGCACAAGCGACCGCTCCATGTGTTACGAGCTGCTGTCTTTTAGAATATTTGGCCACCAGTTGGCGAAGAAAACATACTTTTGAACAAAGGGGGTATTGATTATGTTTATGCCCCGACACCATATAGCTTTGTTTGGAGAAAACTTTAATTACCAATCCTTCGAGCCACTTGAAAGTCGACATTACCAGTTCCTCAATGCACGAAAATATTTGACCAGGCTTCGTTTTTCTCGTCTTAAAAATAGGTTGCCCGATAGCAATCCACTTCTGCTGAAACAATTAAAGAAATCCTTGCAAAAGTGAGCATTTCATTAAGACAATATGCCAAATATTAGTCGCCAATTTATCTGGAAAAAAAATAGTTCAGCCTTCCCACTCTCGTGAAGAAGGGAGACCAGTGGAGCTATACTCAACACACTGCCGCAACGCGCACCCGCGCCCGTTTCCTGCTTTTTCTCGTTCGACACGCCGCCAATTGTGGATACGTCTCCGGCGAACCACAGTCAATCGCACACGGCGCACGTGACGCCAAACTGGTAATCCACGATCTCGCTCCGGAACATTGCCGTCGCACCGGGGACTGTTCAGCCGGCGTGGAGTGCAGTCGTCGCCGGGCCTCGCGCTTGCGCTTGGCCTCCGTGGCACGATCGTCGTCTGTGGCGTTGACCCGCCAGCGCCCTTTACATTGCTGGTTCTGTTCTCGGCAGTGGCTATCCAGGCGAGCGATGTGCTCTTCTTTGACAAGAGAATCTGAAGCTCTCGATACAGTGGAAGTCGAGGCGACAGCGGCTTTGCGGCAGTTACGGACCCAATAGGGCTGCTGCGTACGTCGTCGCTCCTTCCGCAGCCAGTCTTCTTTCCCCGAAAGCGCACGCGGCTGACCCATCCTGAGTCCAAACCGAAACTAATAAGAGCGTAGGAAACAGCGCGCAAAACAGACGAGGACAAAGAAACACACGTGACGAGTGCTGCGCCCGTTACGTGTGCTTTTTCTTTGTCGTCGTCTGTTTTTTGCACTGTTTCCTACGATGAATTCCCACCAACGCGCCGCCCAACTATCCATTCTTCCATGATAGCTGGAAAGGTTGGCGCCATCTACCAGCGACGGCAACAACCATACTGGTTGTGTGCTTGCCGCTGTTGCTTATAGATGGTGGTAGCTGTCCAGAGGCGTTTTTGTCGACAAGTGTTTTGTACCGGACATAATCCTTGGGAACCTAGCCCTTAACAGCTTCGCTGTAATAGCGAGGCGAAATTAGTTTTCTCTCAAATAAATCGGTTCTCTAAAATTCAAAGCAAAAATGGAATGCAGATTTTGAAGAGTGTCACAGTAAACAATATAAATTTTTTTTAACCAAAGCGTCAAGTTTCGGAGTTGGCTAGACATTGTACATGACTCAAAAATTAGTGAAAACTAGGGTTGGGCGATTGATTAATCGATTGATTCTTTAGTCACAACTTCACCAACAAGTTAACCGGTTGGGCTCTAAGTTATGCACTTTGGGAAGACAGTAAAAATGGACTTTGTGCATGTTTTACCCATTTTAGGAAGTGGCAGTGTTGGTAGTGTTCCACAGTGAGGCACTTTAGCATTCCCAACGATTGTCATCCAGAGTGATTATAGTGTGATACATTACTGTAAAAACAATACGAGTTTCAAATTGCTTGCCCATTTTTTTGTGCATGCTTTTTATGGGCAGCGGTAATGCGTCAGTTTCAAATAGATTGTGCGCTGCGCCACTGATGAGACGGCAAGGAATAGTAAAAACAAAAGGTGTAGTTTGGCACTTTTTTAAGATATTAGGCCTAAAGATCAATGCAACCGATTAATTGATTAATTAATCGACGAAATGGTAGCAATTATTCATATTAAACATATTAATTGACACCCGACCCAAGTCGAGATTGAACGTTGGCAAATTTGCGGGTTCAAAACAAGCGAGAAACACCAACAGCACCGGTAAATCATCCACGTTGAGGCCCGTCCACACACTTGCGCCTGCTTATGACCGAGTTTTCGCAATCTCTTATGACAAGAGGACTCACTGGCACACTTGTACCACCTGGGAGGTGACCCTGGAACTGCATTTCACTAGATCAAAAGTTTTGTGGTATATGCAAGATCAAATACAAGTACTATCTGCAAGAAACGGTCGTTCATAACATTGTCAAAAGGTCTTCAAGTCAAGAGATTTTAAGAAATTTTAAGGGGTTTTAAAGGCTAGCTCCGGTCAAAAGTCGAGCCCAAAATAAATGATTGCTACAGATTTACGGAGACTAAATACGAGCACTGCCAAAATATTTCACGAACAAGAAACCACAATCCACTCCGAACACCGATATATAAATAGCTACCACCAGCTCCTCGGCGGGTGTTCGCTGGGTCGGCTGTTTGTCGAGCAACCTTGTGGCCCGACGTCATACTAGTCCCTTTCGTGCCCAAGGAGGCCAAACAGGTTACTTGTCTGTACTTCCAGTTCTTTCACCAAGTTTTTCTGTCACGTTATCCGCCGTCCCAGTGGACAATGCCGGTTTCTCATGTTCTAGTGGCAGTCTTTTGTAAGTGCTTTTAAGCGACTACGCACAAAGATTATTGACTCTCTGCTGGCTCGAGCGGGTTGTGGTGCCGAAGGTGGCATTCACTGGCGATTGACTACAGTTTAGTTCAACCCCACTCGGAGCGAGCTTCCGATTAGCTTGCCGAACGGTTCTGCAATGTGCATTGCACAGCACCAAGATTGTAGTTCTTCTCGGAATATAAGTGGGGCCCGTTCTGAGCCTGCATTCATCTTACAAACTTGCAACTTCATGAATGTGCACTAACATTTGCTACAGATGTTTGATACCTGCAAAGCAAAGCAGTAAAAGAGCCGTAACAGCTTACAAGACTGATCGAAACTGCTCTTAAGAATAGGCCAGTCCTTCATTTCGCGGTACCGTGAAATGAGACTTGCGTCACACAATGGCCATGCAGCTGATGACAAGCGTTGTTGCTTTCATGTCATGCTTGAGCCAGTAGTTTTGGTTTCGCCATAGACTCCCGAAACGAAACTTCGAGATCAAATATTTGCACAAGTACACGAGGCATTAAAAACAAAACGACATCATGTCATTTAGGAACACTTTCTGCGCTAAAAACAGCCGTAACCCCAAAATCAAGAAAATGTACCGGAGCTGCTTTTTAACGCGTCCAGTCCTAAGCAGTCACAAGTGTGCGAACAAGCCTTTAGTTTTGTATAGATAGGAAATCCCACGATCGTGCAGTATCATTGTCCTAAAACGCTACAGAAACGCTCGCAAAACACGAAAGCCACAGCTATGCCTACGTTTGCAGCAAACTGGTCGAGAAAACTTCATACCTCGGAAACGGCTCGTCAAGGGCTGCCGCCACCGTCTTGACGTGACCGGCGGGGGCCTCTCTCGTGACCAGGTCTACATCTTGCTCCGCGGAGCCAAGGACGTGATTGAACGACCTCTTCACCAGCAATTCTGTACGCTGCACAAAAAAAGAAATGCTCGATTGATCTTGATCCTACGAATGAAGTCGGCATGCACAAAATGTGTTTACGTGGCATTCTTCGGGATTTGTGATGTACATTGCAGCTTTCTTTTCCTTTTTAATAGCTCAGTTTTCGGATAAATAAAAAAATCCGTAAAACACTCGCCGGTAAATTTTCCGTCAATTCGGATTTATCCCAATTGACGGAGTCGCTGGAGCCGGTTGCAAGTTGGTCGAAGTCAAACTGACCAGCTTCCAACATCTTTTGATAACATCATTCTCATCGCTGCTGCAATCAGTGTCGAAGACTCCAACGAAGCGAGTGATGCCATAGACATCTCCATTTCGAAACCGCGTGCTCGAAATGCGGAAGGTAAACGTGGAAGCTGAAACGCAAGACGCTGAGAGAACCGAGTCTGCGAGTGCTTGCAAGGGGATGCCGCGTGTTGAGTGGATGACATTTCTGACCCAGAACACTGCAGCATTTCCGAATGGAGTGGATCCAAGGGTCCCGTATATAAATGAATTAATTAACGAAACTATCCCGCCATTTTGAAAACAAGCTTAGCAGGAGTATAGGAACATATAATGAGTCCTAGCAGCATAGTTATGTCATATTTTATTTGTGGCATGTCCTAACCTCTTTAAACACATTCTATATTTTAAAAATATTACGGAGGAAAAACAAAGGGAGTCTACCAGTACTTGTGCGAGACATCTTTTGGGAGGCAAAGCAAATAAGGTGCATGCATCTGACATCATTTACGTCACTGCATGCTCGAAAACTATGAAACCGGATGTCCATAAGCTGTCTGCTGGCACACTGTTGAGACGTATACCACTATTTTCTCCAGAGGGAAATTTCATGTGACATACTTTGAGCACGAAATCTCGCCGGATGCCATGTTGATGAAGTTTCGCCACGCATCTTTCGGAGCACTGAGGCATTGTTTTTCAGCTCGGTCGAGTTCTCCCGTCTCATAATTGATTGCGTCTGCCAGGGCAGTCTGCAACACAAAGGAGCATCGCCTGGCGCTCGATTTTTATATAAGACTGAACAAGAGCCGACGATCAAGAAGTCAAACCGTCGGCGACCATAAAACCGCAAGTGGATGCCACCCGGTTGACTCAAGAAGGAAACAAATCGGAATAAACTTAAATTTATGTAACCAAAATACGTTCCGGATCATTACTTACTGAGTTCTGTCGTCAACAAAGCCACTCGCCACGCTTCAGCATTTTACTGACGCCAGAAACGACGCCAACGACCGAGCATCTGTGTGCAAACAGCAAAGGTGGCAGACACTGTTCATCAACATGGCAGAACGCAGCTTAGTGTTAGGGAAAAGGCGTTTCGTGGAAGAGCCCCACTGGCTTGCGCGAAAATTCATCATTTTTCACAATATCTCATTGATTAATAAGCTATCCAAAATTTGCTTCAATCCGAATTTTGATAGTCCGAAATTTAGAAGTATTTGAATAGAGCAAATGGTGGAGCTGGGGGCACTTATTTCAGTGGGTTTCCGTTTCAGTAAGTTAAGCCGAATAGCCATTAGCAAGCATCCAAAGAACAAAGCCCAGACAAGAAAGGACTTGCAAGAACAGGACAGGAGAAGTCGGTGTTTGCTGCTGCTTTTGAGCACATAATGAAAGTAAATGTGCATGGTGTCATACATCACGATACAGGCGTAAAATTTTCTTTTATAAATAAGCCAATCAACAAAGTGCAATGAAACTTTCCACGGAAATGTCTTTAGATAGTGCACTGAAATTTCATGTGTAGACTCCTAAAAAAAATAATCAAAACAAAAACAAATTTTGTTATCCTGACGCATAAAGAAGAAAACGGAAACAAACCATCTCGTTGTTACTGCTCCTCACAGATGGCACCACATGAAACAAAAACATAAAAGCTTCTTCGAGATACACACAAACGCAGATACAGCGGATCCGAGCCTGTGTGGCAACATCTGCGAGTAGTAGCATCAACCAGACTGTTTGTATCAGTTTTCCTCAATATGCATACAAATAACAATTTTTTTCGGCTTGAATAATTTTTTTTTTTTTTTTTTTCACATGTCTACATTTTTGAAATTTGAGTACCTAAAATATTGGGGATGTGCCAACCTGACTTTCACTGAAAGATGGGCTAATCTGGCCATGGGCGTTTGTCCAGTCAAATCGGTAAATACCAAGATGGCAGTCAATAAAAACCTTTGGAGGCAGGGAGGGTGAACGGAATTGGAGAAAGCACATTTATGTTTACATGGGGAATGACGGGGTCCCCCATCATTTATCATGCGAAAATAAATAAACTAGTACTTATTCATCGTCACTGAACCCAGAAAACGACTCTTCTTAGTCAGTGCGGGATAAAAGGTGAGGGCTTTCATCACAAGTAGTTTTTTTTTCTTTGATTTGTTTGCTATTTTGTATTCCTGCCTGTCTTATTTACCAAATGTACCCACCTGCCAAAATCAATTTCAGGGATTGCAGTATCAATAAATAAATAAAATAAATAATATCGCAAAAAAGCGGATATCCCAGTCATTGCTCCTGGCGATCTCATGGCCACCAAAAACGGGGTGAATACTTTCGGCTGATGCCGGTACTTTGGAGAGGGTGGGCGCTTACAGTCAAACCCGTTTATTACGAACAGCAAGAAACGCTACGATCAGTTCGATATAGCAAGTAGTTCGATATAGCAAAAAACACTTACAACAAACTTCGACGATGAGTTCGTTGTAAGGCGAGAGCTTTTCTTTCTTTCTCATCTCTTCACTTCCGCCTTGTAACAACGCGCTATATAAAAAGCTTTTTTTTTTCCTTTTCTTTTTTTTGCATGCCTGCAGGTTTGTTATTTTAGCTTATCTCCCCTTCTGAATCACTTCTCTTCATGGGCAAACGCTTTGGTATGTTTACCATTTTTAGACCACCTGAGACTGGGTGGAAAAAACATGATGACTTCGAGAAGTCGACGTGTTTCTTCCACCCAGTCTCAGGTGGTCTAACAAAATGGTAAACCTACAACAGCTCGCCTGCGCCCGAATTAGTTTTTGCTTTGGAATGAAACTTTTTTTTTTTTTTCCTGTGCCTGCGTGCAGAGTGGATTTTTAGCTTTCTCCCTTTCTGAATCGCCTCTAAAGGCGCGTTCACACTCTTGCAACCGAGTACGACCGAGAAAGACTTCTTGGGACCGGATGCGCTGAGCGGAGCTGGTCCTAAGAGATCGCAAGAGGCTTAAAAACCGGTTTGGTCTCTCTCGGTCGTACTCGGTTGCAAGAGTGTGAACGGACCTTTAGTCCAATTTCGTTTGCAACTTGAGCTTTTGGAATTTTCTTTCTTTCCTACTTCTTTTTTGGGGGAAGGGACAGGCTAGGAGGCGATTGTTAGCGCTTTTTTGGAAGCCTTCCTGCGGGGAAAAAAGTTTGATATAGCCAATAGGTTGTTCGTTATAAAACATACTTTTACATGCATTTTTATTTAAATCTTCCGTGAGTTCGATATTGACAATAATTCGTTTAGAACGAACGTGGGTTCGTTCTAAACAGGTTTCACTGTATTGTCTACTTTGCAGAATTCCCAAGTTTGGGAAATGTCAATAGTGGGCGCTTGTACGAAGTGGGCACTTCCGCGGTATTTTAGAAAACAATAAATGCACCACTTAAAGAGCCTTTGTGAAAAGCTTAATTGCACTTCATTCATTGGTTTATTTATATGCATATTTTTATGCCCCAATAGCGCTTAAGAAAAACCTTTATATGAGGGCTGAACAGCCCTTTTCAACTGCTACAGACATTGTAAGCTGTGTAAGAGAGCACCCTCTCACCAGACATATCGAACAGCTCGAGTGCTTGGTATACTTTGCTTCAGCTGACGTCCGGATGCAGCCAAAGCTACGAGCTGATGGGTCCAATCAAACGGCGTCAAAAGTGCAAGTCACTGGGCCTTTTCTGCACGATTGGTTCAGCAATAATAAAACACATACAGAAACATGACAAACACCGTGTTACTGAACTTTCAACGCTGTTTGATTGGTCCCATCAGCTTAAAGTGTTATCTGCGTCCGAACTTGAGGTGGAACGAAATATAGAGAATTCAGAGAACTTGGGGACTTTTGCCAGCAAATGGATAAATAACTGTCTTCCTACTGCATAAGGTTTCTCCTTATGCACTTTAACAATTCCAAATGTTTGCTTCGAAATTATTTGAAGTGAATCACTGATCATTTCGCCCGTACATCCATGAGCGCGTCCAGGCTGTCAAGAAAGGCCTCCTCAGCCTCGACCATGCAGAACTCGCACAGGTGCCGCCTCGTGTTGCAGTTTTCCGCACGGAAGGTGGGGCTCACCGTGTACACCCTCGACAGGGACCTGCGGCAGACGACAAGCCAAGCGTCGCAGTCTTGCCATCGTGCCTCCTCCAACAGACCCTTTGTGGGTTTACAAACACAAGCCATCTCTTGCGCCCCAAGCGACTACCGGTAGCTCCGTCTAGTTAAGCATACCGCGCATGTTTATGCCACAATCCCTAGGACGTTTAACTGCCGCAGAAATGGCAAAGTTGGAGATTTAGTAAGGTCCTCCTGCTGTGTTACTATACACCATCTCTCAACTATGTTACGTCACACCGCGGCAGAGGCACTTCAGAAAATTTCCAGTCTGGAGTGTGGGCAGGGGTCGCCATGCAGGACAGGCATTCCTGTGTTGTTTTGGAAGAGACCAGATTAAAACCTGTCTTCTCGTCAAAATGCCGCAAAAGGGGCTGTACCAAAAGAGCTGAGAAAGGTGTGAAGATCAGTTATCCTGTGTTTTCCTGCCTGGCCGGTTCATCCGAGGATGTGGTAGGTGCCGTGAGAAGGGAAAACCAGACTCCGTAGGACAACTGTTGCTCGTGTCGGAAGCACTTTGGGTTGAATTCATGGAGACTTAGGGTTATCAGATGTATCTTTTTTGTTACAATGTGAACGCAGAAAAACTGTCAAGTTGTCAGAATTACCTGCAAACTATGTTCAGTGCATCTTCACATTCAAACTGCCAACTGCCCTTTCAAACTCGTCTGTTCTAACTGTCGTCTGCTCGTTCAAACGACAGCGGCCCGTAGACCAACCACTGACCCGGTAACTGCGACAAGAAGTAAGCGCAGGCCTCAAAAGACTTAAGTTTGAAGGCTGTTTGGGGTAAGTAGGCTCGGTGTGAACAGTAGATACAAGAAGATGTTGATTATAGTTAACAGTGGCCATCACCGACTTGTTATGCTCAATTACTTGGTTTGATGCTCCTTGCGATTTTCAGTATCAACATCGAGCCTCGCAGCTAGAGTCCTTGCAGCCCGAGCGACTTTGCGACTGGAAATGGAGGGTAGAATCTCATCATGTGAATCAGGCTTTAACATGCATTCTGCGGCATTCACGCGGAATGGATCGCTGCTTGTCACATTTATGCAAAGTTGTGCGGTGTAATGAGCCTCGTCAATTTCGCTCAGGCCACTAAAGTAGTAAGACATTGCTAGAGAGACATAGAATCAACACTTCCAACGCGGAAAACAGCACAAGGTCTCACAAAGATGCCAAAAACATCACATTCCAATGGTTTGTCGAAACGGGATGGCGCACTTCTTGTCCACACCCTACCACGCATACACGGCGCCGACGGCGTGCCACCAGGGGCGCTACTATTTGTTTGTAAATGCAAGTTGGTGCACATACCGCTGCAGGTTAAAGGGGCCGTGAAAAGTTTTTCGAGAATTCTGCTCTACGCGCTTATTTGGATTACCAGTCCTCTATTATGTAACTGACGTGCATTTGTTTTATCGTCCGGATTCATTTATTAGCGCAAAAACGACAATTTCAATTTCGGTTTCCCGGAGAGCTTCCCTCTCAGTTCTACGACTATACGTCACATCAAGACAGCCAATCGGAAAGTTTTGCTTTCTGACATCACACGTACAAGTCATAGACGACCAGATACTTTCCTCTGATGCAAGATGTCCGGTCAGCTGCAAGAACCACGGTTTGGAGGTATAAGACCTGACCTCTTTTAGTTTCCCTCAGGAAACACATATGCAAGTACACAGCTTTTAGTTTTAAATTGGTCGCTTTCAAATAAATGATGTGGTGTATCATTCCAGCTACTGAGAATGGGTAGTTCGCTGCGAGTTTGTAGCGATTGATGCCTTTTTCAAAGAGCATGAACTGGAGTCTTTGCATTAAAATGTGTGTGCTTCAATCACTTTTACCAGAGCAACTTCTGCAACCTGTATAGTACTGTATGCTGAAAAACAAAATTCCTCGTTGAATGCCAGAAAAGAGTTGTTCGAGAAATGATACATATATAACGATTTCCTAGAATTATCCAGTTTTTCTGTGGGTGCTGGTAGCACATAAAAGATGGAATGTATCAACGAGTTATTACTGTATTGAAGCTTCATAACTCATTGGCATCTGATGGTTATGTTACTTTTAAGAGATTTATCTATCCACAGATTTCTAAATATGACGAGTGAGCTTTGGCCACTTTATTTCCACATAAACCGTGTACAAAAATGCTTCTTCTAATTCAATTTAGAAAAAACTATTTGTTCTTTTTTACGCTTGGGGAAAAATGCTGTGAAATATTGACCGAACATATCGTGGCACATCCACTGAATACCAGAGAACGCCTAGTCAAGTGCTTTGAGCCGCCACATCCACAACGATAAACGGCACTCGCCAGCACTCCCGATTCAAGGGGGGAAAATCCTAACAATGCAACACATCCAGCCGTTTAAACTATGCGAAACTTGGTCACGGGATAGATGCCGTAGGGCCCAGAAAGAGTGTGAAGGTTCTTATGCACAAACCTTGAGGATTTTTGCAAAAGGTCTAGCACAGAAATTTCCCGCTCCTGCAGCCTCTACCATGCCGGTAGAAGCTGATTTCTTGCTCTCGTCTATACAAGGAGAGCGAGTAAAGAGGAAAGAAAGAGAGAGAGAGAGAGGCCAGCACGGCGGCTCGACTCGCCTCCCCTCTTCCAGTCGACTTGAGCCAAGAAATCATGAAGCGGGTGCTAGAAGCCAAGCATTTCAAAGACACGCCCTGCAGTTCTTATTCTGTCAACGACTGTAGCAATGACCTTTTCATCCGACATTTCAAAAGGTCATGGACGTAACTTGTTCTAAGGAAATGGAACCGACGAGTGTCTCTCAGTGTACGAGGTGGAATGGGTTCTTATCACACTCACATGGCGGCGGCTTCTAGGTGCAACTGGCCAGACACCGTCAGAAACGCTGGACCACCAAAAAAGTGCTCCCTGGCGGCAGCATCCTCCTTTGTGCCTTTCGATTCCTCGGCTGCCTGACTTGCCGGCTTCAGGGGCTGTCCAGAGAGCATTTTTTTAATATGACACGCTTTATAACGAAATGCTCCACACCCAGACCTTTGTCCATTTACGCATACCTCTTGAGGTGTGTAAGCGGCAAGGCACATCAGCGCATCCGGTTCGATTGCGTAACGGGAATCGAACGCAGAACCTCTTGGTCAGCAGTCCAACGTTCTATGCCAGGGGGGGCCAGGCTGACCTGGCCTAAGAGCCGCAAACAAAACCACGGAACTTCTAAAAGCCGCGGGGGGGGGGGGGGGGGGGGGGGGGGGGGGGGGGGGGTGCCGGCGCTTAATTTTTTTCAGTCTGACTGTACGTATGAGAGCACAAGGCTGTACGGCTGTACGTATGGGAGCACAAGGCTGTCAAACTGCAAGCTGCAGTGTGCTTTATTCTGAAATCCTTTCTTTTTTTTCTCTGTTTTTCTGGGGAGACGCGGAAAGGGGCGAAGGAGGGGGGGGGGGGGGGGGGAGGGGGGTCCCCTCACGAGGGATCCGCGAGCCGCACTTGAACCAGCAAAGAGCCGCATGCGGCTCGCGAGCCGCGGTTTGGCCACCCCTGTTCTATGCCTACACAGCCTAGGGTGCAAGCCCTGGATTTCCCACCACAGTTGCAACATGCCTATACTCCTTGTCATGCATGGTGATGTTGTAAAGGTGGGTGGTGGCAATTAATAAACAATCTGTTCTTCTTGATATATTGGAACGACTCTTTATCGTATTGTAAACAAATATAAATGATTGCTCCTTTAAAAAATTAATTTCATGCATTATAACTTTGGAGATAAAAGGTTGCTGCCAATGTTTTTTTTATAAATTCTCTTTATAAATTTATTCAATTTCCGGGCATAGTGTGTACTGATCTCACATAAAAAAAAACCGGATGAAAGTGCAGTATGTGTGAGATACCACCGTTTTCCCCTTCAACCCAAACACACTTTCCCCAAAGGAGTGAAGAGCCCAAACCAACATACACTAAGCAATTCAAAGTGCGTCCCTTTTCCTTACTTTTAATGCAAAACATTTTCCTCCAAGCGACCAAAAACAGACAAGCCTTCCCACACCTTCAAACCGGAGGCCAAGGAACAAAAAAGGGGACGACACACACAGAGTGCTTTGCCCAAGAGAATTTCCCAACTGTGAGCAAACGACCCAGGATACAAGGGTCGTTTCAGGTTAATCGGGACTTCTATTCCTACAGAGGAAACGGAAACTAAGACAAGCACAAAACAATGTCCACTTTACAAAGTATTCCTCGTCCGTGTTCAGCACCACTGCTATCGTTTTTGCAGCATCCCGATTCTTTTAGTGTAGAATGAACTAGGCTGCTTGACGGCAGGGCCGTACCCAGAAAAAAATTTCGGGGGGGGGGGTTTTCGGGGACAACGGCGGCCATTTTGAAAGTGTCTATTGTCTTATTTTCGCCTATGAATCATGTGCATCGGTGGCATATAATGGAGAGTTACAGCAAACCGGAGAACCGGTCCCGGTTTGGTACCCGGTAGCCGACCGGCGCCACTGCGCGTGCGCAGAGGTGGAGATTAAGATCGGCTGGCTGCCAGTGCACCGACCAGGGCCGTACCCAGAAAAAAATTTCGGGGGGGGGGGGGGGTCAGAACCCCCTATCCCCCCCCCTGGTTACGGCCCTCCTTGACGGCAGTCAGACAAACATGCCCGTGCGGTTGACCTGTCACCAGCTGTCGTTCTTCCCCAATCTGTTTCCACACTGTTGTCCCTGACATCGCTTGTTCCCCGGACTGTGCTTGGAATCTTCTCAAAATTATGTGCCACTGCTCTACAGCTACACATTCCTCATCGCCATGATAGCTAGAACTGTTGCACATGTGCCAAATACGTCAATCTGGGCATAGAATATTCAGAAAGGATTACAATAACATCCTCCACAAATTTCATCCGTTGTTCAATGATATCTTATGGACAAAAGTCCCAGTCAAACCTGAATGACCTTTTTACACACTTTCTGTTAACTACAGTGTTGTCAGTCATAGCTTTCAGACTAGTGGCAAGGAAATTACTATACTCTATCTCACTAGTTGTGCACAGCGCTACCAAAGGTACAGGGACGACAGCTTAACCCACGCAGTTGCAAAAGAGGGAAAGAAGGAGCTCGCGCCTTAGTTGAACCCTCTTTTGCGTACACCCTCCCCCTCCCTCGCTGTTCACACCTTCAGAGATTAGCCCGCCACTCAAAACTCGTACGAAAGTGGCTTTTCTCTTTCTCCCACCCATGGCTCCCATAGCAATACGCACAACTACCAAGATATAAAAGGCATCCACGAGACAACCGAACACTGTTTTCTGCACCGCAAACATGAACTAGGCATCGTGGACAACTCAAACTCTGTCAGAACGTAGCCCCAGCCATTTGAGCAAGATGCCAAAGTTTCAGCACCAACCGTCATCTTACTCAAAAGTTATGTGATTTTCTCCGCGACGTCTAGTTTATTTTTGAGGTGTGAAAAACAAAGTTTGGTCTTGTCACAAACTCCCTGTAGATCCAGATCGCATTCCTAGGCTACAAAGTGCTCGTCTGTTGTACATGTCTTGTTTTGACCATTTTTTTGTGAACTCTGTTTGAGAATGAATCAGTACCAGTCAACCCAATTTTAAACACTTCAGAAACAATTTTAAGTTTGTTATTAATTTTCTTGACTCCCACTACACAGATGTTTCTTTTCTCAAATTCTACACTACGTGGCACTGCACCGTAACGCATTATATTCCAAAACATATTACACTCGTTACTGGAAAAGGGGGTTTCTTTACAGCGCTATAAATCAGCGCCAACTCGGAGATGTACTGCACATGAGAACCAGTCTCGACAGAGACAACTTCCGGCATTTGCAGAAGCCATGCGAGCTTTACGACGGCAACATCCTCAAATGCATTCGCAAGTTCGCTCTCGGCTCTTTGTCGACAAAACGCAGACGCTCTCACCTTGACGCTGAAGACGTCGCCGCCCCCTTCGCAGTCGTTGGACGTTATCACCGGGGTGTGAACGTGGAAGAATCCCTCTGCCTGCGGCGACGACGAGACAAGAGTTGGCCAACCGTGACGCCACGGCAATTGGAACGCCTCTACGACCGGCGTGCTCACCGCACCCTATGAAAATATCCCTCGATTTCCGCCTAAGAACGTCACAGAAGCGTTACGTTGCCATTGGCCGCGATCTCGACGGTGGATGTGATGAAAGCTTCGGCGGCCAGGACTCGAGACCTCGCGACAACAGCGACGCTTGCGTTCGTTTTCGCCAGGGACTTTACACCCAATCGCCAGGATCACGACATCAGACAGCGTAACACCGCGGCTTTTACGACATCGTCTTTTGCCGCTCTGAGACCACTTTTGACACGCGGGCAGAATGAGACGCTGAAAACAGGCCGGCCGAAGACGCGTTTCCAGACGTCCTAACACGAGCGAACATTTGTTGGGAGGATCACCTGGAAGGCCGAGTGCACCGCCACCAGGGCGGCGCTCCGAACTCGCAGCAACGCGGCCTCCTGGGACAGCCGCGGTCGAAGGTGGAGGAAACTGCGCACGTAGTCCGGGGCATAGTTCTTGCGGGGCCTGAAGGGAAATTTCTGCCAAGGTCGGCAGAGCACGGGCGAATTCACTTCAGTCGAGCCGCTAGTCTCACGTCGAGCACTCGCGTAGCACGCAGGCCGAAGGCGGACACGGTTTCCCGAGTTACTAAATGTATTTTCCGAATAGCCTGGGCCTTACTCTTCTCGGCATGCTATTCATTATATCTCAATTCAAAATAGCTTTTGAGAAAATGGCAAATGAAGGGTATGCAAAATATTCCAAGCTTTTTTTCTTTTTTTTTTAGCTTTAATTTAACACCATCCAACTTCTTGTAACTTGACAATAATAAACTGTATGCCCCCCCTCCCCCCAATACAATGTTTGACACTACATTTTTATTGTAGCCAGCCTCTCAAATCAAATTTTAAAGTTAGTAACTTTGAGAAAAAACATTATTGTGACTTGTAATTTTGGCTACTATTCCAGACATGTCTATTAAAGGGCCCATGAAACAATTTTTGGGTTGGGATAAATCATTTTAGATTGGGATTTTACTAATAGCACATCGTTTAGTGGACCAAAAGAAAAAAGGTAGAAGGTCAAAAGCCCGACTTTCAGTGCGAAAATTTGAAAACAGAGCGGACTATTTCGTACCTCCTCCCCTTCGCAACCTCTCTGCCTTTTCACTATGATACATCCGCGGTCCCAAAAGCGCGTCATCGGGTCCAAACTGACGTCACACGCAACCGGACCTCACTTATTCCCTTCACCCCTAAGCTGACATTGTGCTGGAAGCTACGCGCTTGCCGGACCAATCAGCCGCCTCCCTTTCATCATCTGACTTCATTCTCTGCAGCCACATTTGCCATGCTCACGTGGCAAGTGTGGCTGGCCCAACGGGCACGTAGCTTTAACAGCACTGTCAGCTTCGGGATGAACGGGGTGGGGAAAGCAACTTTTGTCTGAATTTTGAAGGACGGGCTAATCTTCTAGGGGGAGAATGGCTCAGTCCGACTACACAAACCAGATTCCGAGCGAGAGGGGCCTCCCTTCTTTTCGTCTTCTTTAACTGTTTGGTGGAATGGGCGATTTATGAGTTGAGGAGGAAAGCTAAACAGGAAAAAGTTGGAAAAGCGTTTCATGACCCCTTTAACTCATTGACAGTCAAGATTTTTTTCCCCAGGTGTTTCCCAGCGGTGGCAGTCAGTTCACTGAATGTTTCATCGACAGCTCAGATCAGCTTTTTGTGTAACAAGCTGCGTGAGACTGTCGACGCAAAGCGGCGTGTACGGATCGGTCAGGTGGCGTAACATCTTTGTAATGAGCTGCCGCAGACTGTCGCCGCAAAGCGGAGTGAAGGCAAGGGGGGGGGGGGGTGGGTTAACGCGCAAACCAGTGATGCACGCGTGACGAAATGTCCCTACAGCGTGCCATTCGCGTGACGAGTGTCAATGAAATGTTTTTGTCGACAAAATGTGTGTCCATGAAAAGTTGGCCATGAAACGTAATTCAACAGAACGATAGCGTCCCATTTCCCAGTGGTTGTGTTTTGTTTCTAAAGGAATAGTACAAGGGAAGGGTCAATGCGCAGGTTTCTTCTTAATTATCAAGCGGGAGCACATACAGTGCTTGCAAGCTGTTCAGGTTTAAAAGCATCAAATAGAAATACTGAATTCAAAAAGTTGCTTTCTTCCATTCAGCTTCATTTTGGCGCGTCCGCTTCCACGACATTCCAGCGGTTTCAGATTCTGAACCGGAGGTACTTCACAGTGCTTCTCTATCGAATGGGAAGCTCTCATTCTCTGAATTAAATTCTGAGAAGCATTAAAAGTCTGGCTCGGAGGAGCCTGCATTCCCAATGCCACTACCGTCAGAGCAGCCGACATGCTAAGGTGACCATTTTGCATGTATCACATGTGCAAAGCGTCTAATTTTAAAACTATAAATAGCCCCAGCAAAGCGAAACACTGTGTGAATTAAACGTTTATGGTTTCCAAAGACATAGCAAATAGCAACCCCTCTCACAGTGCACACGGTTTTGCATCTAGGTGGGCACTTTCAAACTTGTGATCACCGCTGCAAACATAAAGGCCCGTTCACACTCTTGCGACTGCTTGCGACCTCTTAAACCTGGGTTCCTTAAAACTTCTTAAACCAGAGAACACACTGGCGCCATCTATCGGGAAGCAGTGTAAACTCGGCGGTTCGGCATATTTTTTTTTTTATTTCTCGCGCAATATCCTTTCTTTTTTGGCTCGAAAAGCTTTTGTCAATGTTATGAACGAGGCTTTCTGTGGGTATTACGCACATTTGACCTCGGAAATCCCGCAAAACCTTCGCTTTTGTGAAATGCAGTTCTAGGGTCACCGCATAGATGGCGCCACAATGTCAGTGTGTTCCCTCATTCTAGAAACATTTAAGAAGTTGTAAGAGATCTCGTCTCTCTCAGTCGTACTCGGTCGCAAGAGTGTGAACGGGCCTTAAGGCAAAAACTGTCAAAGGTTTTTGTCATATGTGCACACATGAATTTGTTGGGGACTCCCAAGTAGAGAGAGCACGTAAGCGAGCTTGCTTGAGGAACGACTGCATGGTTCAAAATCTCTAAGCAGATGACAATGAATAACAGTGCACAAAGGACAGGACAAGAGACACACAGAACACACAGGCACTGACTCGCAACTGATATTTATCAGAGGAAGAGAAAAACGACATTCATACATTAAAAAGAAAAGGACAAAGCATGTACAATACATTTACACCATGAATACTTACAAAAAGAAATCCTAGAGGCGTACCATATAGCAAAATTAAGAGTGTTGCGTTAGCAAGCCATTGCCAACCCTGCATGAGAAGGAAGTGCTCTTCCTAACCATTGCTTTTAATGATGATTTTGCTTTACAAAGTTATTCAGTTGCATTAAAGAAAAGGTTTGAAGAATTTTAGGCGGGCAGATTCAAACCAACGACCCTTTGGTTGCAAGCCAGACACACTATTCACTAGGCCACGGATGAACGGCTTGGGAACGAGCAGGAATTTATGTTTAGCTATCGTGTTCCGCTCTTAAAGGCCGACGACCAGACTCGAGATTCTGCAAGGCAGAATACCCTCCTCCCCATGGGGGAGGAGGAAACCGGCAACGGTGGGCAGTGTAGAGGGGGGGAGAGGAGGAAGCGAGGGAATAGTGGAAAGCGCGAACTGGTCGTCGGTCTTTAAAGGCGAAGCTTAAAGGGGCCCTGCAATGACTTTTTGACTGGTTCTTAATTTTCACTGAACCTGAGCGCACTGATCGTAATAACTTAATGAAACTTTTCTTTTCTCAAATTTCACTTTATTTTAAAAGTTATAGGCAAATTAGAATTACAAAAACAAGCAAAAAATGACCTCCTTCATGACGTTGTAGGTCCTGCCTTGAGCGGCCTTGAACTAGAGGAGGAGTAGTGAGCTCATCGAGCACATACGGCTGCCGCACTCCGTGTCGACGGCTCGAGAGGGCGCCACTAAAGCACATGTTGGATAAGCTGTATGAAGCAGGCGGCCAGGGCAGCTCGTATATGCATTTGCAGCGCGACTAAACACTAATTCGGCATAACATTTCATTGGCCACAAACGACAGCAAACACGGGGTAAAGATCAGTTCAGAACGGGAGCCACTTCGCGCTGACGCACCGCCAAATGGCCAAATCGCCAACAGGGCCCGCGCCGAAGGCCTTCGGAACGCTCGGAACCGGTCGGAATCTTGAGCCAGTATACGACCACAGCGCCGCCGCGTACATCCGGGACCTTTCTACTCTCCTCGTTTGTCGTAGCCTCATCCCACTAGCCTTTTCTAGTATGCGCCGTTTTTTTCCGCCGCTTGGTGGCGGGTATGTCGACGGGTCATTCCTCGTTTCCGTACTTTCTAAACTGCATTTGTTTCTTTTCTGATCTAAAATAGTGAACAAAAACTATTTTCATACATAATTGAAACGGTTCGCGACACTTCTATTTTGTATCTCGACTAAAAAAAAGCTCTTAGCGGCTTTGACCAGTGACAAGCCCAGGACCAAAGACGTCACATTTTGCGCGCTTTCGGTACTGCGGGTCGCCCTCATCGATGGAGGAGGTTTCCGCGTCGTCCGGTTAAAATATGACGCACTCATAGTTAGTTACTCTCTCCGTGCCCGCTGGCTTGCTCCAACCCCAAGAGACGTGGAAACCGCAAAAAAGGTAGACGCTAAAATATGATTGCAGGGCCCCTTTAAGCGTCCTCCTGTAATTTTCCTACTTTCATATTATTTCTTTTTTCTAAACACGTGTATGTTGTGAATCATTGTGCTTTGTCCTTTTCTTTTTTTATGTATGAACATCAATTTCCTCTCATAAATATCAGTTGCAAGTCAGCGTTTGTGTGTCCTGTTGTCCTGTCCCTTGTGCCGGCTGTCTCCGGCTAAGGCTGACATCTGTAGCGAAAATGTAGCCTGCGTGTGTCCCAAATGGCAGGAGCAGTGCACGATTAAAACGGCTCGCTGAGTGCTTACTCATCCTTGCTGCACATGATGAGTAGAGGTGCGGGATGTGTTTTTGGCGCCTTACTTATGACTAAATGGTATTCATCTATGCATGCTATTAGGTTCAGTGTTGTGTATTTGTGTACTTACATGGGCTATTCTATTAATATATCTATGTTAATTGATTTCACTTCGGCAAGCTCGTGTCAAAATAAATTTAATTTGTATATTACAAATTGTCGTTACTGCATTTTTCTTTTTACCATTTCAATCCCACATAATTGCTCCCCCTCCCCTGACATGCCGGTTTTTTCTTCGAGGAAAAGTGGCAACCCTAAGCACGCGTGTGATGTTTTGAACGCAGAACAAACATCTTCGCACATATTCATGAGCAGAAAGAATAAAGCAGTACTTATTTATTGCAAATCGGACTTTATCATGTGGCTTACAATTTATCTTCAACGTCTGGTGCAAAAGGAGTTACTGATCCAGTGTTACTGCGCAGTTCTTGCCGTCTCTCTTGGTTTTCCACAAGTCCTTTGCTTGTTTGGCACGTATATTCCCCATGCTTGAAAGTGCCAATGCCATGTTTACTCTAACGGTGTGCAACATGCACATAAATACATGTATGAAGCCATTTTTAGCACTGCTTTCAATGCCATGAATTGAAAATAAAAACTCCGTAACTGACCAATTATATCATCTGTGTGACCGAGAAATGTTCCAGAGCATGTACAAATTATTTGTGATATTTGCTCTTATAATCTAGCGCAGGGAGAAAAAGCACTCGCTTTTTCCCCACACAAATGTGTTACCGGAAGTCAATTTCCAACTGGTTGCTGTCGGCTTCAATTTGCCGCAGCACACTAGCGGCATTTGAACCTCTAGCACACATTATAATAACTCTATGATTTCTAGATGTCGACACATATGTCACAATCCCCTCCCCCCCCCCCCCCCAAAAAAAAAGAAACAGAAAGAAGATTTTTAGCACAATAGGTATGTTTGGAATCACATTTTGAGTGGGGAGCAATACCAAAACGTGCTTCCATTTCGAGACGTCGAACCTGAAATATATTCGTGCAACGTAAATGTAGCGCTAAAAAAAACGGCAAGTTAGGGCGCAAACAAGCTGGTGAAGGTTCGACGTAATAGACAATAATGGACCTTTTGTGGAAACATCGGTTTGAGAGTAAATGGTTCCAGTACCCTCTCTCTCTTCGTTCTGGCCGAACAGAGAGGGAAGATGATTTTGTTGTGTCGACTTCAGGGTGGAAGATTACGCACGATGGGGACAAAGGCGAGTTTGGCAGGGCCGTATCTAGGTTACAGCGCCTCAATGGGTGAACAGGATGTAGCTGACGTTTTGGGTGTGGAACGGGTGGGAGAGGCCTTGCGCACATTGTTTTCTCGCCACTTAGCCTCAAACCCAGTCGCGTGTCCAGGTGGCAGCACATATTCGCCAAGAGGTCCATTCCGAGACTATGGAAAATGAGGGACGTAACATGGCTAACATTTATGAACGAAACTTTCCAGTTTGAGATATGTCTCAAGCCTCTATAAACAGGATTTTTTTTTGTCAATAAATGTTAGCCGTGTTCTTGCGTCGCATCGTCTCTCATTCTCCCTAGTCTCGAGATTTTAATCTAATAAATGGCGACAAACTTTTCTTCTTTTTCTTTTTTTCTGAGAAAGTTTATTTTGTGACAATTGTGTCATATTTACGAACTTAAAGACTATCTGGGGGCAGTTCAAGTGTCCCAATAATTGCAGGCTTGCACCGCTGGTGGGCAGCCCGTCGAGAACTAAGAAAAGCAGGTAATACCTCGACGTCACACGGGCCCAGGACAGTCACCTCGTCGGCATGAATTTCGACGTCCTGTGCCTTGTGCCGGCTCGGAACCAGGCTTCCCACAACACTCACAGACGACCCGCAGGATAAGTCCGGCCTGGAATCCAAAAGGGGGGAAAAAAATGTTTCATTTAAATTTTGTTTCACAGGAATTAAAGGGGCACCAGAAAGGTTTCTGCGATCGTCCATTCACGGCCATAATTCAATATACGGGCCCTAAGCATTCCGAGAAACCTAGAAATACATCAATGTGTGGCCTGTTTCCCCGTTAAGAAAGGGATCACAGATTATGGCACGCCCCGTTTTCTGCGATCAGGTGCAGAAACCAGAAAATGTATTTAGACGCGTGACAGTCAATCACAAGCAATCAATTCACCCCCCCCCCCCCCTCGCCACACGGCAAGCGATCACTCGCGATTGGATGTTGCACGTCTGTTGGCGTCCTTTGGTATCTGTGCAGAATTGCAAGAAAAGAGGGCGTGTCACAGTCTCTGATGCAATTTTTAAAAGACAAATTGGCTATGCACCATTGCGATACTGTTTTTTGTTTTTTTTCTAGAATTTCTAAAGTTTATAGATTGAGTTTTGACTAGGGTGACCAGACATCCCGTTTTGGCCGAGACAGTCCCATTTTAGAGGCCCGTGCCCGTCGTCTTGTCATTTTGTCCGAATAAAGCCAAATGTACTGGTTTCGTATCACTTGCTCGCAATATCAGTAACAGGCCAGTGACAAAAACAAGGAATTGTTACACTGTTTATAATGCAAAGGTGCAGGCAAGCTGGACAAGAAAGACGATAATCCCAGGAGAGGGGAACAAGGGGGACAAAGGACAAACACATATCTCCATACCCTACCCATTTTTACCTCCCTCCCGGGTGGCTCCGGCCCAAAGTCTCAACCCTGTCCCCCAGTGGGTCTGGTACCGGTGCTGGGTAACGCCGACAAGATTTGACCAGAGGAAACTTGTCGACTCCCTCGCCGGGGAGATGAAACAGGGGGTGATGTTTTTAGTTTTTTTTTACCTGATTTAAGATCATGTTGATGATGTTGTTATGTACCGACGTTGCCGGCAGGTGGACTAAGCAGCCGATGCCACAAGCCTTGTGACAGTCGCGTGCCAGCGAGAGCTCAGGCACTTGTTCCTGAACCAAGAACCGCAATAGACGCACCGTCCACACTGTAAAACTGGCAGTAAAGCTTGTATTTAACAATTGGCGACAAGGATGGGATGAACGGCTGAACAGTTCTGACGGCCGGAGATCAAAATGTGCTTGGAACAAATTCACAATCTCCTCGAAAGTTTTATCACTTGGAGATTTGGAGCCACCAATGCCTTGACCGTTTCAAATATGGAAGGACCACACAGAGTTAGCAGAACGGCCCATTTCTTGGTGCCCTCCCTGATACCGTTGGCCTCGAAGTAGTAGACGAGCCGCTCCACCCAAGATGACCAGCCCTTTTCGGAGAACGCTTCCATGGTGCCATGAGTTCCCACCTTCTCGAAGCCGCAGGTTCGTTTCTGTCACTCATCGTCAATTGTTAAATACAAGGTTTACTGCCAGCTTTATACTGTGGACGGTGCCTCCATCGCGGTTCTCGGTCCAGGAACAAGTGCCCGAGCTCTCGCTGGCACGCGATTGTCACGAGACTCGCGGCATCGGCTGCTTAGTCCACCTGCCGGCGGCGCCGGTACATAACAGATATCCCAGACTGCCCTGTGATAGTTAAGGGGAGAAAATTGGCTTGGAAGGGTGGCAGGAATCATATGTTTGTCCGTCTAGACTTCGGCTAGGTGGTGCAAGCTACTGCCCGTTATAAAGGGTATAATTAACATCCACCCATCCATCCAGGTGATAGTTACGAAATTGCACATGGTAAGCAAACAGGCAAAGGAAAGAAATCATACTTTTGGTTCTTAATTTATAGACTAGGTGGTGGAAGCTACCGACCGTTATGAAGAATACAGTCATTAGCATCCATCCATCAGGGGAAGGCAGGGGTTGACACTTTGGATTGTAGAATTTGTTCCCAAGTAATTACAGGCAGTTTCGAGGTGTCAAATGAATGCCATAAGAGCCCGCTCCAGCACCCGCGCAGCAGCAAGAAACAAATGCTCGACATAGTCCATTTTTAAACTGCCTGCTTAACTGCAAGCATGCCTTCCCCTGACGTCACGCCACTGAAAAGCGCGGGTATATTTGAACATTGGTTTTGGCATCCAATTTCACAATAGCTATTCTGAATTTCGCAATACTAAATAGCATGCTGGAAACTATAAAAGCTGGTGATTCCGAAAATATAGTTAGTTGGGTTAGCTCAAAAAATCGCCATAATAAAAATAGTAAAACAAAATGTAGTTTTAATTTCTTTCCTGTAATTTGACTACCGAAAAATTAACAGATTTATCAATTGAGTAGTCTATTAAAGGGTGGCAATAGTAGGGTAATTTTTTAAACAACCCCCAGCTACAATCATCATTCAATATTTTATGACAGCTATGAACTGTGCGAGATAACAAAAATATGCAGGACCAGCGATTCTACAAGCCACAGTACAAAGATGATAGAGGCATCAGTCTTAATATTTCTCACTCTGCTGAATTTTCACGTGTGTGAAACGATACAACACAACCTTTAGTAAGAAGAAACTGTAAAAACAAGCATTAATAGGGAGGGTCTAGCTCAGCCGGAAACATGCTGCGTCGTTGAGATCCATACTTATCATGGAGGTAGGACTGGAGGCGACACGACGCTGTGGTGAGGGAAACGCCCCCAACGATGTCCAAAACCAAGAGACGCTATTGGACGAAAAAGAGGAGGCGCCAAGTCAGATCTTGTTTTTGTTCAATAGTCTCTTGGTTTTGGTCATCATTGGGGGCAGGCCCTTTCCACTGCGTTATGTCCCCTCCAGAAGCTTCCTACCTGCATACTTCTGAACGTGCGCCCGTAGCAGACGACGCGCAGCGGTATCCCCGCTATCATATGTTACCAATTTTGGCCGCACAGTAATGACAATTCAATATCTTTGCAATTTTTGTTTTTTCAGGTGGGAAGAGCATAGTTGATACCAGACTTGGGAAGTAATCTGCTACAAGTAACGGATTACTTGTAATTTATTATTTTTTCAAGTAATTTTGTAATTGCCACATTACTTTTTTAGAAGTAATTTGTAATGTAATTTTGTTACAAAATATTGGTAATGGATTACTTCAATTTCGCACAACATTTAAAACATATGAGCATAATACAGTAACTGGAGCCATACGAGCAGAACATCCAGCAGCTTAGAGAGAGCAAGTTAAAAAAAATAGAAAACATAAGGAAGGGAAGAATAGTCAAAAAGAAAAAACAATTTCTTGTATGACCGGTCACTACAATCACTAAAAAAACAGGCAAGGCATGTACAAACATACGAAAGACAAAGATCAAGTAAGACAACGCCGAGTAGGCTCTCCGTTGCCTTCCATCGTGTTTTCTTCTTCCCCTGGGCAGAAGAAAGCTCTTCGTGGTTATTTGTTTTTGTCTTTTACACCGTTTCACCCTTTCCCACTTCTTCGACGTCTCCTGCCACCTGCACAGACGTCAAACATGCGTCCGTACCCCATCGATTTGTGGGTTCACAACTCGCGTAACAGACGATGTAGCCTTAAGCAAGGGAGTCAAATACTTTTTGTGTTTGGTGTGCACTACCGTATTCTAGCACGCCCTTGAGGAACGGCTGAAAAGCGTTCGGCGCGAAACTAAGATCATCGCCTTCAAGGGTATGGACGATACTTTTTTTGGTTTATTTGTCTGGGCATGGCGGTCGAGACTACTCCTCACTTTACAGTCAACTGTCAACATAAAGGGGGAGGGGTTAGGCCATCTAAGGAGTGCTGACAGAGAGAGAAAGAGGGAATGCGTAAAAGTGGTGTAATCCTCCATTGTTTTGTGAGACCAAAGTCCACCACTTCTCTTGCTCTCTATGCCCTCCCCTCCCGTGGCCTTCAAAATATTGGTATGAAAGTAAGAACCGATGAACGATGGATAGCCCGTAACCGCCTCTTTTTCTCTAACTGGTTGAGTTTTCAGTCATGGAGTGACCGTCGTCTCCATGGCCATCTCTTAATGAGATGTTCGAAATTCAAGGTATTAAGGAGAACAAAAACCTACAGTTTCAGTGTATACTTTGCTTGCCAAAAAAACCCACATTGTCATCAGCCTGCACAACAAACTCTAATCTACGGAAACACATTAGGTAAGCTGGGACACCTGCATTCTGCATAGGCTATACATTGTAACGTTAGAAAAAAAATTTTCTTTTCTTGTGAATAACAGGCGAAACACCCGAGACAAAAGGGAGCTTTCGTAGATCGGTTCTTTAGCTCCGAATCTTGTAGCGGAGGTAGACGCTGCTACTGAGCATGCGCGCCGCTAGCTTCGTCTGCACAATTCCAGGGATCATTTCCGGACGCCGTAAGCTAGCGGAATGCCGGGCGTCGTTGCAGCTTTTGGTGCCTTGTCAGCTTAAAGGTAAATGGAGTGCACCTACATACTTTTTCTTAAATACAATATTTTCTTTTTTTTTTACAAAGACTACCATAACGCGGCCGTATGAGAGATGGAAAGTAGTGTCGCAAAATTTTTTTTTTTTTTTTAATATAAAAATTGTTTTTATTGTTTGTTGGCCATGTGTACGGAAAAAGTAACGTGGAAGTAATTTGTAACATAAGGAGTTGAGTAATCCGTTAATTTTCAGCACAAGTGATTTGTAATGGTAATCCCTTCCATTTGAAGATCGGTAGTTTGTAATTGTAATCCAATACATTTTTCAAGTAACGAGCACAAGTCTGGTTGATACCAGTATGCCCAAACAGCGACACAGCGCATGTGCACTGCGCACCAATGCGGAGGCACAGCGACACAGCGCATGTGCACTGCGCACCAATGCGGAGGCACGGCCACGCGCAAACCAATTTTCTCTTCTACCAAACCGAAACAAACGAATCATTACCTCATGTTGTCCGCAGGAAGCACGACTTGAAGCTTAGACGCAACAGTCCCGTCCGAAACGTCCAGAAAAACAACATCCTTGTGCTTACGTAGCGCCTTCACCCAACCCTGAAAAGCGAAATCCGAAATAAACATCCCAATTTTGAGCTCGGCCTTGCTCGCACCGCAAATCTACGGAAAAAGAACGCTTTCTAAACTTTCTAGCACTGCTATTTTCAACGAAGCCCGGGTATAAGCCACATTTTACTAGTATTTTAAATACATCATCTCAAGAACATTACCAATGTTCCAAAAACTTTGGTATTTGATACGAAAGTTTTAAACGCACATGTTAGTAGGCCGATGGAGAAGGCTTCCACTACGTACCTTGACCTCGATCTTTTCGTCTGGTTTGCTCGATGCTAGTATCTGTTTTAAAGATTCTGCGTGCCGAATCTTGCTCACATGCAAGTTTCTGCAAATTTGCCGAACCACGGAGGCAACATTCATTTGAATCTTCATGAAGGAGCCCCACGACCACGATGAAATTTACCTAGCGTCGCGCTCGAGAACTAGTTTTTGTAGTTCTGCAGAAACGATAAAAATTCGTATAATGTTCAGTAGTAATCAAAATTTCTATATCACTTAATATTTATTTTAATATTTATCAATATATAGTTTGTTACTACACTTATTTATGCTATTATATTTACTGGTGACTAATTATTATTAACTGCGGGCTGCTCTTACTCGGTTTGTCATATGACTCGCGTGGGTCAAAATGTCCGATGAGAAGTTTGTTTACTAGTTGGGAAGCGCTGAGTCTAAATAATTCAGAATGGGTTGCTGCTTCAGTAACGACGAAGACAAGCGAGAACAGGTAACGTATTTCAATCTCCCCCATAAGGAGAAAAAAAAAAAGTTGCAAGCGATAACAGTCGTTCCTTCCACCGTATTCACATGTCCGGTCAAAGTGGGAGGCTAGAATCGACATGCGCCCGGAAGGGATTTCAGAATTTGAAACGTTATTCACCAGTCCATTAAAGGAATTTAAATTTGAGGCTCGCTGATATGACGTAACCTTGTTCGGCAACGTATCGTACGCTATGCGTGTTCGTTTAGCGCACGGTATCGGCGAGATCTCGTCACAATTTGCCGAGCTATCAACGCCCACAATCTCCGATGTTATTGTATGGAGTTTCTGCGTGGTTCGTCGTTTTGTGCTCGACGTAGACACTAGAATATTGGTGTGTGAACATTTCTGGTGCGAGTTTTAACTGTGCCGTCTCAATTCAGGGTGAGCCCAACGAAAACTCTAGGCTTTTGGCGAATCCAGTGGGCAACTCGTCACAGCACTCTTTCCAGTAAGTTTGTCGCAATATATATATATTTGTTCGACTGGATTTGTTCTGCGAATATTTGTAGAACACTGCATGACATTCCGCTGGTGTTGTGATAGATTAAAAGAAACTCATTAAAGTTGATAGATTAAAAGAAACTCATTAAACCATGGTTTGTCTTTTTGTTTTTAGATTTGATCAGTTTCCACATGCTTTTCCTTACAAATAGTTCATCATGGAAAGAGATATTCATTAACCTTCAGGTTTAAGGTTCTTTGGATGCACCTGTAAACTATAGATGCCTTGCACGTGACGTCATATGGCACCGTATCAGCCGCCATTGCTCCGTACCAGGTTCCTGTACGGAGCCTTCTGCGGCATACATTTGGCACCATCGCTTCTGCTCTTCTCGGCAAGCCTTGACCAGAAAAACAAATTCAGTGGTGTCAAATGTAGACTGAAGAATTTACGGGCACAGGAGAATGGTACGGAGCAATGGCGGCTGATGTGACGTCAATGCAAGCCATGTATATGTGACTTCCTTTTGGCAGCTACGAACACAACAGGGTTTGCTGTTTTTGGAGCTTCATGTCTTCCGTCCTTTCTTTCCCCCTCCTCCTTTGTTACTCTCTCTGTCTTAAAGGGGTCGTGAAGTGATTTTTCAACTTTTTCCTTCTTAGCTTTTCTCCTCAACTCTCAAATCCCGCATTGTACCAAACAGTTCAAGAAGACTGAAAGGAGGGACTCCCCCCTGCTCGAACCATCGTTGGTGCACCCAGACACACCCATTCTCCCCCTAGAAGATTAGCCCGTCCCTCAAAACTCTGTCAAAAGTTGCTTTCCCCACCCCGTTCACCCCCAAGCTGACAGTGCTGTGGAATCTACGTGCTCGTTAGGCCAGCCACGCTTTTGCTACATGATCGTGCTCCCTCGCGCATACCCACCCGCAAAGAATGAGGTCAGATGATGAAAGGGAGGTGGCCGATTGGTCCGACAAGCACATAGCTTCCACCGCACTGTCAGGTTAGGGGTGAAGGGAGTATGTCAGGTCCGGTATCGTGTGACGTGTTTGGGCCGGATGACGCGCTTTTGGGTACTGCGGATGTATCGCAATGAAAAGGCAGAGAGCTTTTGAAGGGAAGGAGGTATGAATAGTCTGCTGTGGTTTCAAATTTTCGTGTCAAAAATCAGGCTTTTGGCTTTCTACCTGCTTTCTTTTGGCACACTAAACGATATGATATTAGTAAAATCTAAATTTAAATTCATTTATCGCAGCCGAAAATTCGTTTCATGGGCCCTTTAAACCAGCTCGCCTATTCGCTACTCCAGCAAACTATAGGGGGCGCGCTGGTCTGGCAAAATGGCGGACGAAAGGAAGTCGTTTCCGTCGTTCAGCACGCGGACCACCATAAATTTCTTACAGTGCAGCGTAAAATCGTTGTTGCATATGAAAGCAAAGCGATTTTTTTATGTTAAAAACCTTCTAGTCACTGCATAGGAATGACATGGCAGAAGCATAAAAATAGTTACTGGAAACAATGTTTGTCTCTAGGCTGCCTACAAGAACCAAGCAGCGATAGCAGACGACAGAGTCGAAACGACCTCCTCTCCTGAGCTTCTCGGCGTTGCCACTACGCGGCGTCAATTTTGCTCGAGTCGGCAATACTCTGACTATAGTTTTAAAACCCGAATTTTCCAAATATAAGATTGAAAAATGAAACTTTCTCGAAATGTTATACCTAAAAAGGAAGCACCCAATCTCTTTGTAAACCCATAGAAGCAAATGGAAGCTCAAGGTAAACGTGGAGAGAGACTTTGCATGTGAGAGTGTGAAATAGAAGCTTCAGTAGCTCCTAAAACACCCTAGAGCAGCATCTCTCCAAAGTTAAGCTCTGGTATAGTAAACAGATAGATTTAATGAGGAAAAGTTGAAGTGTCAGTTGTATTGTTTTTGCAACTGTGCAAAGAAACAAATGTTCATAATAAGTTGACTCGACGGGTATAGCTAAGGTCAGCCCCTCAGTGAGTGTGAACAATGGGTCTGCGATGATAAGTAACAGTACAGATTGCATCGCACTCCTCGGCCCTGTGAATGATTGCGGCTGGGATAGCAGCCATAAAAGTGAATTCTGGCTGCCCAAGTGACATGATTGTTTTGTCACTTTGATTGCAGTTGTCTGGGTGTTGTTGTCGTCGTGTTGAGCCCTCTGTTTTTGTTTCAGCGATAGTTATGGAGGTGCGCAGGGTGGCACTTCCCACCAGAAGAAAGGGGACGACCAGAATGCTCTCAGCAGGATACTCCACCAGACGGCAGCGTGAGTCTTCTTAGCACTATGTCTATTTTTGTTTCATTTTTTTTCTCTGCATTCACGAGAAGAGAAAACTGTGTCTTGTTTTTGTTTGCATCGTATAGACTTTTGGGTGTTATCATTATTGGCCAGAAATTGGCTAAAATTGGCCAGAAAAAGCAGCCTCTGCAGTTATGGATTTTAAAATAGTTGATTGGTGTATTTTAGTGATGAATTTCACTTAGGGAGGTGAGGATTGGCAGCCGCGCATGTTAATGTGCCGCAGCTCGGCACATGTGGAACGAAAGTTAACGTTTCAAAACCGGGGATCCTGAGTTTAACCTCCGTACCTGCCCATTTCGATCTGGACGAGTATTGTACCAGCATGCAGTCTTGTATCACTACTGCGTAATGCGTGTTGAAGAACCCAGGCTAGCATTCGCACTGCCCTGGCTAAATTTCTTGTCTAAAGCTGAGACTGCAGATGCCCATTGGAGTTATATACACACAATACAATTGCTTGGTGGAATTTACCCTGTGAAATTTCAAGGCATAGCACCCTTGCAAAAAATGAGATCAACACCCTTGAAATGGTCAGCTGCAGGAGCCTACGCAGATGATTGAGTTATCTGAGGGCTGTGCTTGTGGTGCCATCTCCCCTTAGGCACAGAGAGCAGATGGCACACTTGATCCAAAACAGGTGCCTCAAGCAAAGCCTTCAGTTACAAGGTCGTCTGCTTTGACATCCGCCATTGACTATGCTAAGGATATTGGCTAATTTTTTACGGGAAGCCGTTTCAGTAACTTTGAGGCAAAGCGCCGGCCTATGGAGCCCCAGTTGGCGGGTTCGAATCCCAGCTGTGGGGCCTGCAATCTGATAGAGGCTTAATGCAGAGGAGGCACCGCATAGCCAATATTTAGGCTGCATGTCAGGGTTGTCCTAAATAATCCTTAGTCTTGCTTGAACACCTTAGATGTTTCGTTTGGTTGGCACACGGAACCCCCATATTTGACTCGACTTTTTCAGAGTAAGGGAGCCATGCCTTCAACTTTCACGGGGCAAAATTCGTCACAAAAATACATCTTTAAGAAAAGAAACTGAGATAGCTATGTGCAAGCACCGATTTTATATCATGTTTGAATTAACCCCCAAATTTATAATATCATTTGCATATCATGGAGAGCAGAAACTCTGCCTGCCTTTGATGCTCGGGTTTGTAATAATGGGACAAAGTTGCCGAGAGTTTTGCGTCTGTTAGTAACAGCTTGCGACGTTTGTCTACACGTTGGCAGCTCTGATGGAAGGCGCTTTAATAAGATGCTCTGGAAGCTTAACACCTCGTCCCAACTGCTAGAGCTTTGCAGTGTGGTGTGGTTCGTTTGGTGCATGTTTAGGTGCGAGTCACAGTATCAGTGTCGTCACTTCAAGTTGATCCCACCCTTTGATTGCAATGTTTTTATTTCTGCCTCCTCTTCACCTCTACACGAAATAGCCAGCTTGAACAGGCATCAAGCCAAACCTCTGTTTCACACGCTTGCCATGTGTTTTTTATTCAATTAAATCTGTCGGTTTGGCTCAGGGCCCAGAGTCAATTATGATTATTCTTGGGTTACGGCAGTTCCTAAGCTTACGCTTGAGTTGTAGCGTTGCGACTGGCAACCCAGGATGGCTTTTTACCGCTTTCTCAAGCTGAGTCCCCACAACATGACTACCTACTGCCAACCTACCTGGTCTTTTACTGTAGAATACTGTGCATCCACCCATTCCACACGAAGCGCCCATTCCCAGATTTGTAGGATCTGAGAAAATATGCATAGTACAATTATAGTGTGTAAACTTGATGACTGGAGAAGCACCCATCCCCCATTTTTTCACTATTATCTCCTGATTTTGATCGGGTGCTTGCCCGGTATTTTATGGCAGTTGGCAAACTTTGCTTTGGTGTTGCAAGCTTGCATTTTCGCATCCGCAGAATTGGTGCACCGTGCTGTTGCCGATATCACGGTTTTGTGACCGTGGTTTTGTCAGTTTTGTCTGCTTACGTCCGTGGGCTGCCAACATCGCAATGGCTGGCTGTTTTTGCTTTTGCCATTCAGGTTCAACTCCGGCCCAAATTTTCCGTGGTACTTTCAGCACAGTTAGAGAAGTTTCACATTGCGATTGAAAATGGGGAAGGTATATCACTTCAAAAATTGCCTTTCATAAGCTGGAAACTCCACTAATCACTTTCTTTACAGTTTTTGGTCTGTTTGGTTGAACACCCTGGTTCGAGACTCCCGAACCCCTACCCCACTTCGAACGCTCAATACATTAAATTTTGGGACTCCTGAACTGATAGACATTGAACACTCAATGCGTTAAACTTGGGACTGCCGAATGCCCGCTCATCCGCTTTCCGGACATTCCAGGAACGTGATAGACGTGTCTGCGCTGGATTCTCACCTGGAGCAGCACGAGTATGCGAGCCGAGGCAAGCAGTATGGGCAGCGGGTGTCGACGCTGGCGCTGCCCGCCCAGGGGCCCCGCTGCCTGCTCAGGGACGTGGCCCCCCAGGAGGTGCTCTCCAGGCCCCCCGTGGCACCCGCACACCTGCAGACGGTGCGTGGGCTGGGGGGGCTATGGCGTTGCGGTCTCGTCTGTGGTGCTCTTAGTATGGTGCCTAGGAACGCATCTCCGACCAGTGTGTTTGGCATCCCGTTCTGCCCGTGTATCAAGTTTAATCCCAAAGTGGCAACAAGTGACGGCGCGAGAGCCTAAGTCTCATGCTGTCGGATGTCGCGATCCTGGCGGTAGGTCATGGACGCTCCCGGCCGCCGAAGCTTTCGTGGGCCGTCAAACTACAGAGTGACCTGCTGCGGAACAGGCGTCTGCCATGTCCATCACCGCTGCTGCGACACCGCCAGGATCTCGGCCGACGACGGCACAGCATGACACCTTCATGACCTCATCGGGCGGAGATCAAGGGACCACTTTTTAGTTCTCTGTAAACACACCGGTCGGAGAAGTGATCCAGGCACCATACTCTTGGTGACTCGTGTGAAATTGACTGCACCTATAGTCTGTCGCAACTCAAGAAGGTAGGGCAAGGGAAAGGAAGGCCTAGGGGAGGAGGAACCAGACGGAACGCCAAAGAAGAGAGACTGAAACCTCCTTTTTAGCGCTCCGTCTGCTTCCTTCGCCCTACCTTCTTGAGTTGCAGCAAACTACAGTGGCAAAAAGCTGAGTGGAAAATAAAAATCAAGGTGGTTTAATTCTTTTAAATCATGGTTTTAGTCGTGGTGTAAGTCAGACCAGTTTCACTATGGTGATTTAAATCTAACCTTTCCCACAAAAACATAATTCAGACAGTAGTTGTTTTTATTTTTTGTCTATCACTTAATGCTTTCTTTGTGTGTTTTTTTTTTTTGTACTGAAATCAAAAACTTTTGCAAGAAAGATTTTTATTGGGCCAAATGAGAGCGAAAAGCGTTGCTCTTCTGAGCAAATCTGATCATTGAGCTTTTCCTACCTTCCATGTTGTTCGTCAGTTACTTAACGTATGAAGCTGTTTTTGTTTTAGTATGACTGGAGTTACATCAGTAAAAAGTAATTAATTAAACTATACTTTAAATTAAGAGTAATTTTGTCTACACTGTTATCAGTGATCGGATAGATTCATCAATCTTCATTGTTTAAAAATACATGTAGCCTGAAGGGGGATTTAAATCAAATTAATCATATTTAAATCACATAGATCTCATTTACTTAAATTATAAAAAAAAGAATGGTTACAATATTTTTTTTTACTTTGGCTACAACCCAAGGCTGTTACAGCAAGTTCGCCTGCCAGCTTGCACAAGTGCATCAAATATTTACAGTGGTGATATAAAGACGAAGTTATTAAACTAAGCTCAAAAACAGATGATAAAGATTGCCAATACGACCGTTTCATGTGACATACTTCTGGCTCAAAATCAGGCTGAACACCATATTGATGAAGTTTTGACGTACATCTTTCTGTGGCAGTGTTTTTCATCCCTGTCATTTTTTTTGTGTCGTGATTGACTTAGTCTGCCGAAGTCTTCGGCTGCACGAAGGAGCATCCCCTGGTACTTGAGTTTTATACACACCGGTCTTTATCCAAACCTAAGACGAGCCTGCGATCTAGAAGTCGACCTGTCGGTAGCCAAAATGGCCCCAGTAGATGCCAGCCGGGCGACTTCAAAAGAAAAGAAATCGGTATAAGCTTGGATTTATGCAACCCAGATACGTGCCCAATTATGCTTGCCGAGTTATGTCGTCGAAGGAGCCACTCACAGTCCTTCAGTATCTCAGCAATACCAAAAAAACGAATCCAACAAATAAGCGTCTGCATGTAAACAAATGGTGAAAGCAGTGGACGCCGTTCATCAACATAGCGGAAAGGAAAGGATGTTTTGTGGAATCGCCCGGGTCTTTGAAACATCTAAACGTCCGTGCGTTTGATTGAGGGAGTTTGTATGTGGAAGGCTCTACACGCTGCCCCGAGAAGCTTCGTAGGTCTAACAAGACCAACGCGCTTTCACAGGGTGCCAGCCAAAGCTTGAAGCTCGATGACTATCCAAAGGTAGAGTTTATTAGAATTCGGTACGACCTCGTGTACGAGCTATGCTCTGCTTCACAATAACTTGCCAAACTGGGGAGCCTACGGCCAGTGCAACCCAATAAGAGTGTTGGAGCGATGCTCGTCGCACTAGGTCATGGGGCGTGTGTGTCACTGCGCCAAATGCAAGGCCCAGAGAAACCGGCTGTCGTCTGCTAGCCCAGAGTCGTCTGCTGCGAAACTAACCAACTTTAGAAGAATGTCCACCGCCGCAACATTGCCGTCCGCTAGAAAAGAGCTTTTTGGGAACAGTTTATGAGAAAACCATATGCTCAATTTACCCGCAAACCTGTGACTGTTGCTAATGTCTGGGCCCAGTGCCATATTTTCACCGGAATTGGTCGATTACATGGCTGTGATTGCCAACGGCCACGGCGCTACAAGGAGAAAAAAGCTTGGAGGACGCTGAAAGGGGCCCTGCAATCATATTTAAGCGTCTAGCTTTCTTTGCGGTTTCCACGTCTCTTGGGGTTTGGGCAAGCCAGCGGGCACGGAGAGAGTAACTAAATATCAGTGCATCATATTTTAAGCGAATGACTCAGAAACCTGCTTCACCGACGAGGGCGACCCACGTTGCCAAAAGCGCACAATATGTGACGTCTTTGGTCCTGGGCTTACTACTGGTCAGAACCGCTAAAAGTTTCTTTTTAGTAGAAATGCAAAATATAAGTGGCGTGAACGTTTCAGCTATTTATAAAAGTAGTTTTTGTTCAGTATTTTAGATCACAAAAAAGAAACAAATGCAGTTTATGAAGTACGGAAACAAGAAATGACCCGTCGACATATTCGCAACCAAGCGGTGGAAAAGGCGACTCATACTAGAAAGGAGTAGTGGGATCAGGCGCCGACGCGGAAAGGTCCAGGATGTATGCGGCGGTGCTGCGGTTGTAAGGACTGGAGGATCCGACCGGCTCCGAGCGTTTCGAAGGCCTTTGGCGAGCAGCTTTGTCTTGCGGTTTGGCCGTTTAGCAGTATGGCAGCGCGAAGTGGCTCCCATTCTGAACTGATCTTTACCCGTGTTTGCTGCCGTCTGTCGCCAATGAAGTGTCGTGCCGAATTAGTGTTTAATCGCTCAGCAAATGTATTGAGAGCCGTTCTGGCTGCCCGCTGCATACAGCCTATCCAGAACATGCTTTAGTGGTGCCCTCTCGCGCCGTCGACACAGAGTGCGGCAGCCGTGAGCGCTCGCTGAGCTCACTACTCCTCCTCTGGGTCACACCGTTCAAGCAACCAAGCACATCATGAAGGAGGTTATTTTTTGCTTGTTTTTGTCATTTTCATTTGCCTATAACTTCTAAAATAAAGCGAAATTCGAGAAAAGAAAAGTTTCATTAAGTTATTACGTTCAGTGCGCTCAGGTTTGGTGCAATTTAAAAACCAATAAAAAAATCCTCGCAGGTCCCCCTTAAGTTTCGCCTTAAGAGTGGAATGCGAGAGCGTTATTGGGGGGCCCCATTTGCATCACCTTCTCATTTGCTTTTCATGCTCTTCCTGCCAGTGAAGCAGGAAGTGCGGCAGACACGGGCTAGTCAGTAGCATGACTGGATCACAGGCGAAGGGTCGGGGGTTTGAATCCCACGTAAAATTCTTCATATTCTTTTTTAAAGCAAATAAATTACTTTATAAAGTGAAATCATTTGAGACATGTCATGACCTTTAATTCACATTGCATGTCATGTTTTTCTAATCACTTTCACTCCACATGTGACGCCACGTTTCACGCGAGCGTTGTAGGTTGTTTGAAATTCCTGCAAGAGGTCATGTGGCTGTGACGTCATAACCCTATCAACCAATCAGAATTTTCGTGTCACGCCACCGACGTGACTTTCAATGTTCACTGAACGCCGAACAGGCATCCATTTTCGTTTATAGGTTTATTCTGCACGAAAAATGATTGAAAAATTGAGTTTTCCTTCCTTTCCATCTCAACGCAAAACAAGCCGCGGTGTAATTTTGATGGTTGTGATGTGCTCTGTCACCGGAGCCGGAAGTTCTCTCGGCAGTAGGAGATTGGGAGCGTTAGCGGCGAGCTGGCGGTGTGCCGGTAGGTTTCACCACTGGGTTTTACTGCGCTGCTGGCACCGATGCCACCGACATATTTTGTGAATCGGCGCCTCTCATCAGCACGATAGCCATGGACACGTCGCAGCTGAGCGAAATTCAATTATATACGTTGCGCTTCAGCGACAGCATGGGACTGGTCCCATACGCCAGTACGCCTATTGGAAAGTGCGGCGACTCTTCCAACGAAGACTCCTGTTCCTCATTGAAATCGAACGACGACGAGTGGCGACTCCAATGTATGGAATGTTTCGAGCATACACGGATGACCTTAGACCTGGGGTCCCTCAAACTGATGAGCCTGCACCAAGAGCTTCGAGTGGCAGTGAAACTGTAGTTGTTTCTTTTTAAGCTCCGGACTGCACAAACTGTAATTCGGGCATTTGTAACGAGTGTGTTAGCTATGACTCGTTTGTTGCATGCAAAACAACCGCTTTGCGCCGCGCTTACAGACTTCAAGAAGCGCAGCAGGTTGCCAGCACGACAGCTGCTTTTCCGCCGCCGCTGCCGCTCACTGGCGCAGCAGAAAGTGTACAAAGGTTTCTATGGGCTCCAGCTTTGTTAACTTCTGTTTTGTCAGGATATGATCACAGGGCCAAGTGGACGATAGAAGAAAAAAAACGATGCAGTACGCCGTCTTGGACGATCACGACTTCACTGCTAGTACAAATCTCGCCACTCGCCCTTTCTGCTATTGCAAAAGACGTGAATAGGATTTCGTGATCACATTGACGTTGCGATTGTTCCAAGAATGCTAACATTAATCATGTTTCTAGGGTGATGAAAACGCATTGGAATTCTCATTCTTCATACACACCTTTAAATACAATACGTGCCAGTAATATCTTGAACTTGAGCACACGCATGGAATGCGCAAAATAAGAAATCCGGGTGATGTCCGAGGACGAAAATGCTATGAAAGCACCACTGTAGTCAAAGTAAACAAGGACGACGACACAAGCGTTTCTGCTGTCTTGAGAGTGCCGCCACAACATCGCCGCACAAGTAGATGGATCTTCCCTTCTAGGACGTACTGGGCTATCATTGTGACATGCGATGGGAATTTAGTCAAGGATAGCGCTCTACGCAGAACGATGAGCTTCCACTATGCCGACGACGTCAACGATCAGCACCGACGTCATGTTTTTTTAGCAGAGCAGGAACCGCGACTGGCGCAGGTGCAATCTCTCTTTCTCTTGCTTCATTTACCACACGATAGAGGGCACATGGCTCAGAGCAATATAAAATTCAACAGTTTCGGTCACATCGCTGATTATGCTACAAAATAAGGATCAGTTTATTTTTTAACAAAACTCTTGAGAAACATTTGCTGACTATTTATTGTTTATGAACGCGGTGCAGGTGAGGTAGGCTTTTATCCAATAGGCAATTTTGTCCAATAGGTGGTTTCGGCTGACGTGCAGATGCATCGCAGTGAAAAGGCACAGAGCTTTCGAAGGAAAGAAGGTGTAAAAGAGTCTGCTTCTCTTTTAAAAGTTCCATAGCGAGCCATTTTTGGGGAGGGGGCTCTCTATTTTTTTGTTTTAGTCTTCTTTTCACACCTTTTACGACGTGCGGTGGATGAAACTCGATTTCAAAATCGTTTCGTGGTCCCTTTAACGCTATTGCGTTAAAAAATCGGGAGCGGATGCGGGTGTAGCGTCACTTTTTTGTTGTAATTGTATTGAAACTCTTAAATCTGGGATTATTCATTCCTTATTTTTTATATCTTCTCGATAAAGATGGGATCACGCGAGTTCAATTGCCATTAAAAGAAAAAGACGCCTAAAACTACCTCTTGTCGTGGATGGCGCAGCTGCTGTGGTGTCCGTGGGCTCAACCATGGAGCGTTATCACGTGCCTCGCTCCGGCACTTTTATTGGGTCGTGGGGGCCGCAGCCTCTGCAGTTCGCCACGTTATTGTGAAACGGAGTATACGTGGGATCATCTGCTGGTCGTACCTCGCCAGCAGCCATTCCCGCTCAAAACAACAAATGCCAAATGTAGAAGCGGTGCGATATGAAAACGAAGTTGAAGCCTGGATTGTTTATTTGGAGTGCGCTGCAATTTCGAACACGTAGGCAGCGTAATTTAAGGATCATCCACTCCTTTCCATCTTCTATGTATGTGAACATGGAAGGCTGCTGCGAAACACGAGTGCATCAAATACATGGAAGCTGGCCGGCGAATGCTTTGACGAAGGCAACAATGTGATCTCTTTTCTTTTTGTCGACTTTTGCGTGACATTGGGCAGAAAATAAATGCTTATTTGCACTTGTTATTCCCAGCATTTGCTTTTTTTCTTTTAATTTTTTTATTATGGTGCAACTTTTTGATCGCACCGCGCTGTATTCTGTGATAGGGTGTGGCGAAGCAGACAACAAATATCGTTCTACTCTAGCGCGCGTTGGCTTTGCCGACACCGAAGTATAAACGGCCCAGGTCCATTGGTGACATTTGGAGCCGATAGCGTTTGGAGCCTGAGCTAGCGACAATTTCAAGGGGCTTTAGCGATGAGGCCGACAGATCGTGCAAGTCCTTGGTGTGGCGGCTGGCATGAGCCTAACCCGCAGCCAATCGGCCAGCCACTTCGCTCCAATCCTCCGATTATTTCATTTTTTCATCCGTGTCACAAAGAAAAATGTTTTGCTTTTTTTTTGTAATTTCCATTTGCTAATCGCTTCTAAAATACTTCGATTTTCAGGGAGAAGATTTTACTTCTGTGGTTCCCACGTTCGATGTGGGAACACGTTTCACTGCAAATATCAAACCAGTTCAAAAATCTTTGGGAGCTTCTTTAAGGGGGTCATGAAACCATTTTTCAACTTTTTCTTCCTTGGCTTTCCTCCTCAACTAACAAATTGCACATTGTACCAAACAGTTCAAGAAGACGGAAAGGAGGGACTCCTCTTTTGCTCGGACTCTCGTTTGTGTATCCGGACACCGCCATTCTCACCCTAGAAGATTAGCCCGTCGCTCGAAACTCTGACAAAAGTTGCTTTCCTACCCGTTCACCCCTAAGCTAAAAGTGCTATGGAAGGCAAGTGCTCGTTGGGCCAGCCACACTTTTGCCACGGTATCACACTCCCTTGCGCATACCCACCCGCAGAGAATGAGGTCAGGTGATGAGAGGGTGGCAGCTGATTGGTCCGGCAAGCGCATAGCTTCCACACTGCGGTCAGCTTAGGGGTGAAGGGAACAAGTGAGGACCGGTGTCGTGCGACGTGCCTTAGGGCCAGGCGACGCGCTTTGGGTACCGCAGATGTATCGCAGTGAAAAGGCAGAGAGCTTTCGAAGGGGAAGAGGTATGAAATACTACTCCGCTGTGTTTTCAAAATTTTGTGTCGGAAATCGGGCTTTTGACTTTGTATGTTATTTCTTTTGGCCCACTAAACAATATGCTATTAGTCAAATTCCTATCTAAATTGATTTATCCCAGCCCAAATTCGTTTCATGGCCCCTTTAATAAGTTTGTTTCAAATGCTTGCTGGCAAAAATTTGGAGGTTGTTTCATGGTCTCACCCTTTCGTTGTTGTTCCAGTCGCGCTGAAGGGGGGGGAATCGGTGGCCGAGTGGTCTAACGCACACCAGCTCGGAGCGCGTGGACTGAAAGCTCGCGCTGCACGACCCAGGGATCCTGAGTTCAATCCCCACCCCTGCCTGTTTCAATCTGGATGAGCATTGTAGGCGTGCGGTCGCGTATCGCAACTGCGTGGTGCAAGTTAAACTCCCCAGGCCAGCGGTGGTACTGCACGCTGAATTTCTCGTCCACAGAGCATAAGCTTGTGTTGCCACACCTCAAAGGCAGACCGACCTTACGCCGTCCGAACTCCAAAGTCAAATATATGTTTTGTTGCCTGCAGATGGACGACCTGACGATGAAGGTGCAGCAGGTGCTGAGTGACATTCAGGTGGAGCACAGAGAAGACTTGGTAGTTCAGCTGTGTGCCCCGCCCTGATGAAGGGGACATCCCCCCTCTCCCACCTAGCCCCATTGCAGTTTGACAGACAGCCTTGTTGATGATGACGCAGCATATGACCTTCCTCGTTTGCTTGTATATATATATAAAGACGCTCTCTCTTTCATGCTCGTCTCTCATTTCATTACAAGTGACTGAATTACGACTGATTACTTTTTGTAGAGGCACTGGCACGGTGAAGACGACAGGGAGGAGCTTCAATTGTTTAGCCTCCAGCGGGAGACCCCTACCTTTGACAACGCTTGTGGAGGTCTCAGGGGTGAGGGCGTCCGGCAAGGTGGCCGACCGCTCAACCTACCACTCCACAGCGTATCATGCTAAGCGCTGCGGCGGGTTCGACTGTCGGCTGCATCCGTTAGCGGCGACTCTCAAAAAGGAGCACACTGACACGCCGAAGGCAGTGGATAATCGCGCGTTAATTTAACGTGTTAATCATATACAGATAAGAAACACACTAAGGCGATGAGGAAGGAACAGACCTTGTCGTGCCTTCCCGAGAGGGGTTCGAAGGTGGGCCATCAGGGAGGGCCGGGCCACACGCCCGAACAGTTGGATGTCCCCGCGAGCAGTCCCCTCGAGCGGGGCGCAAGGCCCCCCTCTCTCTGGGTGGTTCCCGTTTCGACCCGGCTCAAAACGACCTTCTCGTTTCATCCTTTCCCATTTCGCCCTTTTCCGAAACAACCTTGCCGCTTCGGCCATCGTTCGGTTCGTTTGTATTGTTCGTTAACAGTTGATTAGGTTCAAGTGTCCAGTGTCTGTTCTCCTTGCTCCACATCACGTCTCCCTCTCCCGAAACAACCTCAGAGACATGGCACCGTAAGGTAAACGCTGTGTCAGGGAGGGCTCACCCGAACATTAAACAACTTTATCGACCTGCGAACGGGATGAGGCCTTGACAAGGATATTGCTGCAGCAGCTTGCAAATGGTGGTGCCGTGCAAGCCAGGTGACCGCCGTGAACTATCACAATTGGAGTGTCTCCTTTCCGATGGCGCGATTTTCCTGCTCAACTTCCTCAACCAAGGCGATAGCATTTTGTGGTTTATGATTTTTGCCTGTGTATGTGACGGTTGTGTGTTTGAACTTGTAAGAAAATGAAGTCGCAATCATATGCCCGTCAGCCTGTCCGATTTATCACTTTTAAAAATATCCCGTTGACTATAAGGAAGTTTAAGAATAACATACGCTAGCGCTTTGGGTAGCCTAAAAATAGCGTCGCAGTATAAAAACTTGGGCAACGCTAATTTTTGCTTACTCGTAGTGCTTGCCTGCGTTACTCTAAGACTTTATTAGGGAATTTTCGTAGACCGCGTTTCCCCTTTCGCTAAGCCCTCCGCAACGAAGAAGCCGCTACTGCGCCTGCGGGCCGACGGCCTTGACTGTAGACTTCCGGCTATCGCAGCAAGTTGTGGAGGAGCGTCGCGTGACGTCGAAAACTGTCTATGAAAGCTCCCGGTTATTGTACAGAACGCGAAACCGTTAGCGCGAACAAGCAATTGTTGGTTTTAGCCATTTGTCTAAAAAAAATCGGAAGACTGCCATCACTATTATTAGTGTGTTTGAAAGTGCTCATGTGGGCCACTAACATAAGCGGTAAAATGTGGAGGTACCTTCTAATACCATTTCGAAGTAAAATTCTAAAAATCGCCAACATCGTGTTCGTGGTAACGTTGTCGCGCAGTGTACATACTCCATTTAGTAGTTACACATTTTGGGGACCATCTTGAAAGAAACATTTTAAGAGGTTCAAGTAGAAATATATTTCGTTGAAGCTTGTCTGAAGGTATTCTAACGGGACGAATTCTAACGTAAAACATGTCTTGGCTACGGGTGGAGACCTGTCAAGAAACTGTTATGTTGCTTTTTTCTCTGTCTTTCCTCTCCAAATCGAGAAAAATAAAGCATTTTGATTTGATTTGACTTGGGTTCAAATATGAAGGGCGTTTTAGGAACAGGTTGAAACGGGACAGGTTCAAACGGGAAGGGCGTTTCGGGAATGGGTCGAAACGGGACGGGTTCAAACGGGAAGGGCGTTTCGGGAATGGGTCAGAACGGGACGGGTTCAAACGGGAAGCTTGTTTCGGGAATGGGTCAGAACGGGATGGGTCCAAACGGGAATGGGTTGTTTCGGGCTACACCCCTCTCTCTTCCTCTCTGTGCTGGTGGCCTCAGCCCCGGCACCAAGAACCAACCGCCAGGGGGACGTTTCGCGTGTCCCCGGAAGGTGTGGGGGCATGGGGGGAGGCATGCGATGCGAGGGTAAGCAGGCAAGATGGCTGCTCCTCCGAGGCACGAAACGGGGCGCTCCGACTGACTGTTGGACAGCTCGGAGTGCTTTTCCCGCGGCCATGGGGCCTAATCGGGGAAGTGGAGGGGGTGGCTCCCACAATTCCCCCCTGCTCAAGATCTTGAGCATCCCTTTAGAACAAGGGATGCCGGCTCTCATTCCCCCCCAAAATGACGAGCACAGAGAAAACATAAGACTACAAAATACATTAAAAGATATATAATAATCCATCATACATAATACAATAATCCTGAATACATAATACATTATAAAAATAGAAAGGAAACACACTCTTGAGTTCGCCGTCGCCCGGGGCTCCCGTTTTAAAACTGCATAAGTTCCTCCGTGAGCTGCCGCTCCTCTTCCGGGCTCGGCGCTGGTGCTGAGGGTGCCGCCTCTTCACTGAAACCGTCCATCGCCACGTCCACTGTGGCCACGTCCACCGGGTCCACTGGCATCCTGAAGAGGCTGCCGTCCAAGATGGTGGCCGCGAACTCCGGCCGTCGCGCCATGTACGACAGCACGGCGTCCACGGCTCCAGGCTGATCGAGGGCGGCGTCCAGCTCAGGCGGGGCAGGCGGGGGAACCACCTCGGGCACCCGGACCCAGCTCCGATGAATTTTACTGTCGTCGTGGACTTCCCCTGCAGCCCTCACAGTACACCGCCGCAGGGTCCGGCGTCATGGAGGCGCCAGAGGCGCCCTGGGCCTCAAGGTCCGCGTCCTGGACCGTGCGGCCCCGAAAGAGCGGGGGCAGCTTGTCGGCCGGGACCCCCGGTGTGGGCCGCCAAGAGACGAAGCCGTGCGGCGGCCCGGTCAGGCCCGGTCCCTTGCTGCCACGTCCATGTTGCGACGTGGCGGGTCGATTTGATGGCGGGGAGCGGGGCCGCCCCAGCCCCAGGAGGGGGGGTGTGCAAGGATGACTGTGATGGAGTCCCCGAGGCGGCCCTGGAGGAAGCCGCTGACCGGGGTCGCTCCCAGACCCCGTGGCGCCCGTCTCGGCGTGAGTCTGCGGACGTGTGGCGCTGGGCGGTGCTTTGGGGGGAAGGAGCCGCTGACCGGGGTTGCTCCCGGACCCCGTGGACACCGTTTTGGCGGGAATCCGGGTCACGGCCGTAGGGGCGCCGCTTCCAGGAGGGTCTCCATTGCCCCCTCCACGAAGGCCAGGCCGTCGATGCTCGCGGCCCCCGTCCAGCACCGTCCTCAAGTTGCTGCTGTTGTTGCATGTCTCCCAAGTTCAAACTGGATTTCGGCCCGCACACTTGTCGGGGCGTCCCCCCAAAATGTGTCTCTCTCTTCCCTTGCCCTCGTATCCCTACATGAGAGGGAAGAAGGGCAGGAACCCCCGGGACGGACTTTCGGAGCATCTCCCCGCACGCGGCAAGGAAACTCCGCTCGGTCCCCCGTCATCCGCGTGGTGGGGGATGGGGGTGGAAAACACTAGAGTCAAGTCAAGTCAAAAGTCTTTATTTTCTCTGTTTGGAGTAGGGATGCCGCGAACTTTTTTCGAATCGAAGTTTCGATGATCGAATCAAGCGGTTCGAAAGGTTCGAAAGATTTCGATTTTTCGAATTATCTATATCGTAAAATTCGACGGAGGTAGAATTTTCGAACTTGTTAAGCTAAGAAGTTCGACGCTTTTCGAACCGTCGAACTTATTACGCTAAAAAATCGATCGTTTTCGAACTTTCGAATTTATTGCGCTGCAAGGTTCGATGCTTGTCGAACTTTCGAACTTGACTGACCAAAACATTCGATGAATATCGAACTTTCGAACTTATTTATCAAGAGAATTCGAAAAGTTTCGAACTTTCGGATTCTGCAAAGTCAGAAGTTCGACGAACTTCGAACTTTTAGGGTAAAAGTTCGACGTTCGTCGAACTTCGAAAGACCGGCGGACGGTTTCATTTGATTTCAAGTAGTGGGGTACATTCGTAATTTTTTTTTCTCGAACTTTTACACGCGGTGCTGCGTTCCTTACGAAAGACAATGTCGTTTATTTCAATGTTCTGGCATGCTTAGGTTTAAAGAAATAAATCCCCGAAGGGGCGAGGAAGGACGACGGGTTTTTGACGATTATCGTTTGTGCCAGATTTGAAGCACGCTGCAGCCGGAGCTATTTACGGTAGATATGTTATACTTTTTTTAAGAATGATCTATGTATAGCCTAGGTAAGTGCCGTCTTAAGATGTGATTATTGTTATTCAACGTGAGTTTCGAAGAAATGTCCAAACATGTATCTGCATGCAATTATAACCTAAACTTGATATTTATTTTCGTCTAAGTTGTTTGAGGTATCGCATTTAAATTAACACCACAGACAGTACATATCATTGCCATCTGCAGAATACGAAATAATATATTTATTGTTTTTTTCACGTTAAGGAATAAATTAACTCATGGGAGAAGATTTCTAATAGTGTTCAAGTTCAGCACGTCATTAAAAGAAAACTTTTTTTTTCGCTTCACGTTCTTGGGACGTGTTTCTTTTAGCCTGTACACATTTTGGTAAAAGAAACTTGTTTCGAAGTTCTGAACCTCTGAATATGCAAGAATAGAACACTTCCGACGAATTCTTGATAGTTTTTTTTTTTTTCCTGCTTTTTATTCCCGCATTTATTATTTTTTTTTTTTGTTTTTTTTTTTGTTACTATCGGCACAGGTGTTTAGGTCGAAAAGACAGCTTTGAACTTCCGAACCACTAAGCATGTGACGAGCAGTGCCTTCTGACAACGAGTTTCTAACAATGACCATCTACGCAACCTTTTATGCAGTGAAGAGCGACAGTAGCTATACATATGCATAGATAATTTCAGATT